AACCCTAATGTAACCCTAATGTAACCCTAATCATTTCAGATAGTTCTCTAAATAATTTAACTTAGGATTAGCAACTTATTACTTTTGCTACACAAGCTTTTTAGCCCTTGACACCCCTGCTCCACGTAGAGTATCAATTAAATATTGAAACCCATGCACATACCTTTGCTATTCGCCCGCTTAACCAAAGGCAATATGTTAGGCACGTGTCACATGGTTCTAGCTATGATTGCTCGGCATTCTGTTTGTCACTCTGATACAGTAAGACATTGATTGCGAGCGTGACCTTGATCCAGTTTCCGAACAGAAGCCATATTACAATAACAAATCTGGTGAATTGTGCCTGAAGAAAAACACTGCTATTCACTCACTGCTGTAATGTGGACTTCATCTCCGCTAAATACTACCATAAGCTGACAATAAACACCATACTAAATTATTACCACCAAAGCACAATGAGACTGTCTAAACACTAGGAGCGATGCAACGAGAGTTGTAGCTGCCTCTATCAAAATAATGGATAAAATAAACGCCCGCGTTCTTGCCTCGCACATTTTCAACAGCTGAAATTTGCTAATGGAATTAGGCGGAACAGATCTAAATATTAAGTCTGACCTCAAATTTATTCATTGATCACTCGGCTTCGGTAGGAAATGATGGAGCACCACCTAGCAATATTTGACGGAGTGCGTATTTGATAGCATTCGCCTGGCTTGACCAAGCCTTCCCATGGCTCAAGATTCTCATTGATTCTCGAAAAGTACGTGGCACGCTATCATGGCCGTTGAGCACTCCAAGGCCAGTGATATGAAGCTGCTTATGCTGTTCAAATGTGCCTGCGATCCATTTCTCCTGCAAATCCTCGCTCATATTTTGGTCGATTCGAAGAATGTTCTCGGCGTCAGCACCAGAAGAGTATTTTGTTTTGGCTGAGACCACGAATCTATCGTAGTTCCAGATGTATAGGACAGCCATAAGCAAAATGAAGGAGTCATAGGGGTCAAACTGTTGCTGTGAACGAATTAATCGGAACAACTGGGCAGCATGCAAGAGACTTTGACGTGCCCGTCTCGGTTCTGCTTGAAGTAACTGTGCGATATGTTCCGCCGCAGCGCCAACCTCCTGGTGCTGTGCCATCCACCCCGAAGAGACATACAAATGACGGTATTGGATAAAGCGAAGCAGTCGAAGAATGAGAGAAAATTTCGCCACGATGAAAAGGAGAGGTGATACTTGGAGGTGTCGCAAAACAGCTTGCTGAAAATTCCCAAGGATCGCATCAACGTTATCCTTATCAAGGTCGCCAGTATCGATGCCCCCCGCAAGAGAAAAGTTCCAAGTTTCTGAGAAACTATGCATGCTCGGATAAGGATATAACGTTGGCTGTTTGGTAGAGTGCCTTTCTGCAATATACACCGCAAATACCAATATCCAAAGCGCCGAGCCACTCAATGAGCGGATACGGTGCTGATCAACAATTTTCGTCTTAAGCAAGGATGAGACGCTGAGACATTCGGTCAGTTCTTGTCATATTAAGTCAGCTAAGGAACCTTCGTCAACTCTGATATATGGCATAATTTACCTCTCTGTGAGGCTCTAGCCATCTCCCAATTATAGGAACTTGCGGACTGCCAAAGTTCATCCTTACAGGGCATGCCCAAATGCAGGTCATCAACCGTAATCAGAGTGGGCAGATCGAATAAGACTAGTTGAAAGCATTCGATCACTTTGAAGGTCCGAAACTCAGCAAATATGAAGTGATATAAAGAGCAAAGTGAAACACGCTGACTATACTTACACCAGGTAAAATACACTAGTCTTTTCCAGGATTCTGTCGCGATCCATTGAGTCCAGATTCCGGTGGCCACACTACCATTTGATAACATGCTGCTCTTCGCGAAGAGAACACTGGGGATGAGGAGGGGGCGACACATCGTGACCAGCAGGTTTCGTTGGTATTGCAAATGCATTAAATTCTCTCGTGTTCCGCTGAAGAGAAGAGAGAAGTTGAATAGCAGCGTTGCCTGGGCAAGTTCAAGATTGTTTTGAAGTGACGAAACGGAGCTGAGCTAACTTATCATATCAGACCAACCATGACCAACGTTCATCATGGGAGAGTTAAAATTAGAGATACCTTTCGAAGCAAAGACATTCTTATTGCTTTCACCAGGTCGAAGAAAATTCGAGTCCGGTTTGAAAGTCGAGAATACTGGCTTCCCACAGCAGCGACGGCGATATAAAGGAGCCATGACGAGCTTCGGGCTTCGAAGGTGTGTTGGTGAAGAATAGGAAAGCTTTGGTGAAAATGTTCGAAGTACAGCTGTGTACATACGTGTAGAATATCCAATGAATACAAGCTTGGAAGGGCCTCTGATGAAGACCGACTTACTTCCGCATAGTGAGCACTGATCCTTTCGTAGGTTGAGATAGAAGGCTTGGGGACATGTCCGTAATCCTCAGATATCAAAATGTCGCGGTCTTCTTCTGTGAGGGTGGTTTGTGACACATAGTTCTCTGACTGGGCATTGGAGGAGGGCTTATGGACCTCCTCGGCACGTCTCGAATGCTTCTGTTGAGAATTCGGGAGCTCCACAGAAGCGACATTCTCAACTGACATTTTTATTTGTTGATCCACGGTCTCTGCCACACCAAAAGGCGCATGAAGACCGGGGATGCCAGATGAAGCCACATCAGAATAGCCAAAGACATCGTCCAGAGGCCAAAAAGAACAGGGTTCCAAGAGAGGAGCGGCGTCGGTGGATTGAGAGAGTTCTCGAGCCTGGCTTGGGAAAGGAGGATCCACACATGGCCAGCCAGTAAAGTTGACATTATCCGAACTCCCAGGGTCAGACTGGACTGTGCTTATCGGGTATAGCCCACATACAAGCGATGGCTCAGGAGGGCTGTTATGGTCCGAGATCTGACATTCTTGATGAATTGTCCTTCGTTCGGTTGTATTCGGAAGGATCTCCTGTTCTTTCGGCGACACTTCCTTGGAGCCTTTAGTAAACTGGCAAGGCCAACCTTTTTTATTACAGCGATCACATGGATAGGATCCAGAACAGCGTTGTTTTGACTTGACACAGTTGAAGCAAGCATGGGGTGCCCTCGGGAGCGTTCTTTGAGCTTTGTGTGGTACCTCATGAAGTGTTGAATGGCGTTGCAATGTATCTCTGGGGGAGAAGTGTAAGTTTATGTGCATAGTGGCCAGTACCCCATAAAAGCATACCTCCGCGCGAATCGTTTATCGCAAAGATCACATTTGAAGTCCTTGCGCTTAGAATGGCTCCTGAGATGACGCTCAAAGTGCTCACGGCGCCGGAAGGACGTAGAGCAGACGGTACAATTGTACCTTCTCGGCGCGGGGGAGAATTCGTCTAGATCTGAAGGTGGGAACATGTAGGATGTATTCTTGTGGTGGAATAACGCAGGGTCGTGAGGGGAGTTCGCCATCATGAACAAACGGCGGAGATATGTTCATTGCGTTGATGCGAAAGTCGAAAGCTCACTAAACTCAGACGCTCAAAAGGCGGGGACATGATGAGTCAGCGGAAGCTTGCATGTCAAGACCGAAAGTCGGGAAACTCAAGTTTCCGAATTTCGCATTACTTTGTCAGATTTAATCAATTGGCTGATTTTTGCTTCGGTCTTACAGTTTATTTCAATTTAGTCTTTTTCCTGCCTTTCTACTTCTATTTGGTATTTTGCACTCTACTCTATTCTTACGTAATTCTTTGTTCGCATGAATTTTCCCGGGTGAGCCGGTAGCTTTTCATCGCAAGCTGAATACCCTTGCGATACGATTCCATTTTTGACATTGAGCCCACAACATAACTGGAATTGGTTCCATCACACGCGGAATCAGTCGAGATTGCCCAGAGGGCCACATACAATTTACCTTCCATTGAGATTGTATTGAATCATGGGATAAAAAAGGTCGTTTGGCTGGCAGCCAATCCGGCGGAAACTGTAGCGTTTTCCAATACTTTTGAACGCTGACCTTATGGAGTACATACTGTACATAGAGTACACACTACCCCACAGTGGCTTCTTCTGCGCGCGGACGGAAGTACGGGCCCTCAGAAATGAAATTGCTGCAAGTTAGCTCGGACCTTGCAAAGATTCCCACAGTTGCCCTTCGATCCTGAGGTGATCTTTCCCAATCAGATCATCGAGCCAAACTTGCAGTGAAGCCTAACAAACCAGGCACGGAAGTTGAGGATGAAAAACTTTTCGAGTGCCAATAGGGGGACTAGGGAATTATTAGCAAATGCACGTGATCTGCAGGCTAAATTGATTACACCTACACCATAGCAAGACCGTCTAATTAATGCTCACAGTGTTTGTGATGAACACTCGACAAATTTACTTGTAGTATCAACACTCACTAATGTCTTTCCACATTCAAGACATCATTGACGAGGACTTTCAGTGAACATAAAGAACAAGGAACAATAAGACCTCTACTGTTGATTATCATCAACAGTATATCAAAAAAAACAGTAGAAGTAGAATATTCTAGACTCTTTGAGAATCAGATCAGCCGTCAAGCTTCTGGGAAACGGATGTCGCTCCTAGACGCATCTAAACGTAATTCTAGGAGCGTTTGAATTCCTGAGCTGATCCTTTCAATTCCGAATCAATATGCCAACTGGAATATCCATTCTGCTGAGGGGAACAGTCTGGAGTATCACTCGCTGTAGAGATACCGCTATCTATGTACAGGTCTGCCCGAAGTCAGATGCACCATTTATTCTTCTTCAATTCTTACCCACCTTGTTTCTATACTAGGGCTAGGCTACATAGCAGGCCAAGGGGGTCTTTATAGAGCCTTTCTTACTGTTATTGATAGTAAAGTAAGAATAGACTAAGGACTAATATTATAAAAGAATAAAGAAACATTATTCTCTTAGAAGTAGGGAATAATCTATAGAACTAGATATATAATTCTAGTATAATTATCTATTAAGATAATAGTCTTAAGTAGATAGCTATATATAGTCTTATCTAATAGATTATGGCCAGGTTAAGGTTAAGGTATAACGGTCAGGTATAGCCACTCTAGTTAAGATAGCTAGATTATAATCTTATCTTAACTATACTAAGACTAAAAGAGATATAGTAGATAGAACTTGGTATCAAGAATAGTTAAGATGACTAACTATCCGTTTTTTTGACTATACTATAATTAGATATAAAAATTTCCTTCACCTGACCATAACCTGGCAGTCAGGTATAAAATTTCCAATTAACCTGACCTGACCTGGCTGTTAGCCACTCTAGTTTTAGCAATAGGCCGAGCCAGTTGTCCAACAAAGCTCGCGAGCTTTCCTAAGGCGAGCCCCCAGGCGGAACTCAGGATCGTTAGACTCGTTTGCAGAGGCCTGTTCACGGTGAGGGAAAGATGTGGAGCAGACGCTACAACTGTCCTTTTCAACGGAGAGTTGGAGACCAGCCGCCTGGGCAGATACATATTTTCTCATTCATACAGCTAAGTGACTTGAACTTTTCTAAATATCAGGACATTCCGAGCTCCAGTTTTAGAACTTGCTTGATTCACCGGTTCGAAAGCCCAATCCTCCAAGACAGGCCGAAACAACCTAATCCTATGTACTCACGCCCCGGATACTTTTACTGACGAGGCTTGAACACAACAGGTAACCCGGGCTTCTGATACGCCAAGGTGAAGTGGTCAAGGGCATCTGGCTTAATATGCCCTTTCGGAAGGCTTAGTTCGTAGTTACGAAACAAATAAGCGAATGCGAGAGTGATCTCAGCGGGTGCGACACTGCAACGATCAATAAATGAGTCGATGTAAAGCGAAACCTAGCTTACAACATGTCGAGGTATTTTAACTTACTTCTGCCCCAGGCACATTCTGGCACCCTTAGAAAACGTGCACATCCACTGTTCTAAGCCCTTGGATTCGGGCCCAATCCAACGGTCCGGGTTGAACTCGCGGGCATCGGGTCCCCACGCATCTTCAGAGTTGTGCATGGTGTACGTTGACATACCAACAATAGTCTATATGGTGCAGAGATATTATCAGCATTATCCAAGTATAGTAGTAAGCATTCAGTCCAAGCGAGACTAAACTTACGCCCGGAGGAACAACTTTCCCCTCAACAACGAATGGATCACCATAAGGAACAACACGAGGTAGACGACCTGGTACGGCCATGCCCACTCTGATAGACTCCTTAACACATGCCACCTAAAAAATTGTCAGTTAGATTGTTATTAGGGTTCTTTGTCCTGGAATTATTATATACCAAATATTCTACTTTCTCCAGAGCCTGGAGTGAGATAAGTAGTCCTGTTTCTGGCATAGCTTCATCAATGGCCTGCACAAGACGGCTTTTGATTTTTTCATTGGATAGGATATGAAGGAACCCAGTTGTAAGAGTAGACGCAGTAGTATCAGCACCGGCGATAAGGATATCCATGGCCTCGGAAACTTTGGCATCATCTGAGATTGACTTCAGGCTGTCAAAGATGACAGGGTAAGAAGAGACCTTAGACGATGTCTGCCAGTATCGCATACAGCTTCCCGCAAACTTACATTAATATGTTAGTATTGCTGATCGAGATTAAATGGGGGTTTAGTACTATACCTGCTGAAGATCTAAGATAGAGCAAAGCTGGGGATTCAGAATTTTAACCACATTGGCTGGAAGAACCGAAACGATATTTCGAAGGACTGAATTGTACTGTAGATCGACGATACTCCGGGAGCCGACATCGAAAGCGTCAAGGAACCATGAGTCGAATTCATCACTCTTCTCCTCAATAAGATTAGCCGACTTTGCAAAAGCAAACTCAGTGATAATTTCCGTGGTTAAGAGGCTGCCGTAAGCAGTTAGAGTACGTAATTGTATGTCGTATCTGATACTGACCGAACTGCATTGTAAACGTCAATTTCCTTGGTCGCACAAAGTCGAGTGATTTTGGCCGATAGCAAATAGATCTTCTCGCAGATAAGAGGCTCTAACTTGTAAACACCCACTTTCGAAAACAAAGGATTCAGCATGCGCCGGCGCTCCTTATGTAAATGAGGTTCGAGCTCAGCAAAGACAGTGTGCGGTGTGCTGAATCCATCGTAGAATGGGGCATGCTTGAGGAAGGGTTTAGATTGATTATAAATTACTTTGTACAGCTCGATATCCGTGATATGCAGCTCATTAGGTCCAATTCGAAGAGCCTTTGTGTCTGTATTTCAGATAGAAGATCAGCAGCTGATCACTTCGGAGAGAATTAGCAAAATACATACTATACTTTTCGTGAAGAGCTTCGAAAGTTTGTTCTGCTCTCCCACTTTTTGTTACCTTGTACAGCCAGTTTTCCGAAACGCACGCTTCTGGAACTCCCTTGAAGAAACTCAAGGGATGCAAGTGTATGCGGTATATTCGAAGCGCAACCTTAGCAATCAGAGCCACCAAGATGACCAGAGCTAGATCGGTGACCATCCCCGGAAATCCTGCATCAGAAAACTCCCACAAGAATGATGAAACTGCCTGGCTGGCCATTCTATCGTTCGTACTATCTTCCTGATCAATTGGTCGTGTGATGAAGAGATCAGCCCTGAAATGACACGGCGGAAGCCGTGCATCTTTTATGGCATCGATTCCTGTAGCATAGTAGAGGAGATTTTTTTCATCAGTTGCCCAGTTGCAAATTATCACCGTACAATACGTCGTCCAAGGGGTTGGTTTTGGCTCACAAACCCCACTTCAAACGGAGACAGAAACAGAATCTGCCAATTAGCAGGGGTAATGAGTGAGGCGTCAGAATCCCCGTCGGCCCCGTCGGCCCATCGTAAAGGATCCCCTCGGGTTGCAGTTATACCCGATGCCGATACTAAATGACTGTGAAGTTTATACGAATATATGTACGTAGTAGAGGATAGTAATTCATAAATAATTAATGCTGGAATGGGCCTTCTAAATGCATAACTTACGTAGGTGCTACGGGGATAGGAATTTGTCAGCGGCATTTGTCAGCGGGCGGATTCTGCTTGAGCCGACGAAGAAGGAGCTACCCATTGGATACCTGTGAAGAAGTGCGACAGCAACACAAAAATCCATATGATGCACAGGACATAAAACAAAGAAGTGGAAATTGGGCTAGACACGGTTCTGTAGCAGATCACATGCCGGTCTTAGCAATAGGATCGTAAGCCCTGAATTTTGTTCGTCAAGTAATGAGACTATTTTTTTATTGACATACAAGGCTTGAGGTTTCAATGAATTGCTCATTATTTGAGGTAACTATAAAGCTATACTAGGTACTTGGTACAACAAGGCAAGAACTATCATCTCCTCTATCAAGGCAATGAATGGTATGGGCGCCAGTGTTGGTTCCCTGCAAGGGCTTGACGCCTGGGATTGGAAATGGCAGGACTGGATTGCCTGCAATAGTAAGCTCCATAACATCATCTTTCTAATATACAGTCAGCAGTCTACTCATGAGATGCCACAATTTAGCTCAATGCAGTGCAGTACGTACCCTCCAAAACATCCCATAAGGACGAAGTGGGATCTCCACGACTCGAATCTCCCCTTGTGTCAACGGGATACGCTCGGTGTGCGCATAAAGCGGCTCGAAAGAAGTAGCATGCTCACTGAGCTGATGAGCATGACTGACCCGGAGCTGGCCGGCTGGTCCCCAATGAAACAACATGCCAACTCCCTGAAGGCCGACATGCCAGTCATGTAGCAATTTTAACAATTTAATCACCATCATATTGTCAGGTCGAATTGTGAGAACACCCTGCTTATTTGCAGAGCGCCCGCGAAGACAGCACACCTGGGCGAACAGGTCCATATCATCGCTGGATGGGCAAGATACTGCGAGACGAGCAATAAAATAACCGGTAGTCTCCATGTCATGGGGTATGCGATACCGGAACAGGGCTTTCCCATTCTTGGAGTCGTATATGACTTGACCCGACTCGGTCGAAGGTGATCGGCTCATTTTTCCTTCAGGTGTCAGATAGATTTTCTGATACTCCGTTCGAGCCAGTGGCCAGGTAGTCTCCGCCCTATTCAGGGTATCACCCATACCATCAAGCCCAAATGCAGGACACTGAGTCGGATCTTAGGTGTAGCAAGCCAACCATTATCCACATCTCCCTTTAGAAAGTAATCAAAGAATCTCTTCAGGTCACGGCAGCTGGAATCTGCATAATAGTCTGGCCATTCCTGTGAGTTATGCACTCGAAGCCACTTAGGGACAGATTCAGGGATACAACGGTAAGCTCTCAGGGTTCCCGGGGTGTGAATTGGGTTCGTCCACGAGGCAGCCACGTATGTGGGAACATTTATTTGCTCGCAATTGGCTCTCTTGTCTTCCCAGTATTCGGTGAAAAGGGGGTACTTAACCAGAACACTGGGTGGGTCCTCAAGCTTGCCGTAGCTAGCGAGGGTATCTGTCTGCTGTCAACAATTTTCCACATAAAAGCCGCTGATGTAGGATATGCTTACCGGCAATCGAATTGTGGAACTCACCGGCAGGAATTCCGCCTTGACACGTGTTGTCGCGATACATGTCCTGTATTCCCTCCCATGGCGCGAGCGCTTCAAGACCTTTAGGTCGCAAACTTCCGATTTTCCACTGAATCATGGCTAACCAACTATTCCCGGTGAGTCCAACTTTGCCATTGCACCAGGGCTGCTCCGACAGCCAAGTCACGAACTCTGCTCCATCTTGGGCTTCCTGGTAACCCATTATTTCCAAATCACCCTCAGAAGTATAAGCGCCACGTGTATCAACATTCACAATCGCGTATCCTTCGGCACACCAGAATCCAGGGTCGGGCCCTTCCCATTTTTGTAGACCTGACAGCCAATGCTTAGGTACTCCCGCACGGAATGGAAAGTCGTCCAAGAGCGTCCCGCCCTTCTGCTTGCCATATGGACTCCAGGCGACTAACGCAGGGATTTTCTTGTATTTATCAACAACTTCAAGGTTCTCGTAACCAGCTGGGAAGAAGATATCGTAGTATAATTTCGTGCCGTCGGAAAGAACCATTGGCATACTTTCGTGCATAAGAATGTCCACAGGTAGGGGCTTCGCGCCCTTTTCCACTTGCTGTCCAGCCTTGAAGGTAGTCAGACCCTGGCGAAACCCCGGAAAGCGCGCTTTAGGGTCCTCCGGTGATAAGGCAGACCGAAATTGAATATAGTTCATTGCCTTCTTTCTGTTTTCTTGACATGACGTCAGGAAATCGGCGTGGGGTTGGATTTCAGCCATGATATAGATGATGAGGCAGAGAATTGGGAAGGGCAACTTTGACAGTATGAAACAGTCAACTTGTTGTAAACAGGAGTAGAGGATTGTGGGGAGCTAGAAATATTGATATCGTAGCGGTGAGATTACGTCAATTAAACCAACTCAAATCCATAACTATAGCGACCAATTCGTAGTCAGCGTCTCCACTCGATTTCCAAAAGAGCTTAGCCATCACTGTCGATCTCGGATGCAGACAAGTGCCAGTGGGGCTCCGACGGGGTAAAGTGGCGGGGAAAGCGGGAAACATGCCAGGTGGGGTACATTCTCGGATACGTGCTACAGACTTTGGAATCCAACCGTTCAAGGGCAAGCATTATCTTCAGCCGGCGGAGATGAGTATCCCAGACAAACTGATTCAAAGTAACGATCACCGTCATCTACGGGTTATCCGTAGGGAGAACATGAGATCATGAATATCATTGAAGATGTTGGTTCTTTCTAAGAGGATCCCCAGGAGGATCCAGAGAAAGAAGGCCCCGTACGGACGCAGTCAGGTGACTCTGATTAGGTGGCAGTTGACACATGGTAAAATTCTTTGGACATTAAGGGTTTACAATAGCGCGGAATTATGAAATACGTCTTTAGGGAATAGGGAATGGAGACTGAGCACATGGACAGATCGAAATTTAGGACATGATGGGTACTGAGGTGTTACACCTGTAAGGCTGGACAGCAAGAGGGAGCTTACCATTCCTTCACACCAATTGGCCCGGTACAGGTCCAGTGCTTGTGGGTCAACTTGTTGTTCTCAATCTCGTCCACAATGGCTACTGCCATATCCTCGTTATATATTCCGTTGTTAATTCCATACTCAGCGGAGCCCATAGTATCATCCACGTGTACCTCATACTTTCCGGTTCGGATTCCTGTTTTGGGTAAGGATATTAGTATTTGAGAGGCCGTAGCGGGTCCAATGTGATTTACCTTTATCACGCAACTGCCAAGGGGGTGACAGAAAGCTCCATTTGGTTTCTTGCACACCTTCCCACATAGTGAGCGCTGCTCGGGAGCAAAAGATAAGCCCAAGCGTGTTCCGACTGGTAAGGTTCTTCTTGGCAGACCACAAGAACCAGCTAGCAAACGGTCTGAATAACAGGGAGAACCCTGCACATTAGGCGATTTGTCAACGCAATTCCGCATAGGTAGTTAACGCGAAACTGGAGAACCTACAGCCAGGATTCTCGAAATTTGATCTTGCCCATTTGAACGTACGGATGAATGTACCGAATGCTCTCTGCCCATGATCAAACATGCGTGTAGACATATAGTCGAGATGGACATCCGGCCACGCGTACCTACTATTGGTTGGTGATTTTCCCAGCAATATACGAATAGACTGCATTCTCTGAAACTCACCAGTGCTTATATGCAAAGCTCTCATCATCACACAATTGGACTCCATTCCTGTAATAGAGCGATCCGGCGCCACCTGTTTAATCATTAGACTCATGTCAGGTCTCCTACAGCGAGATCTGGCAGTCATACCAATAATAATAAAAGGGTTGCGATATGTCGATCTGAGGATGGCCATCTTGATATTACCGTGACCTTCAACCCCCACAGTGTAGACGGCATCAAAGTCGGCTAAAGGAGGAGCAAAGGCGGAGACTACCGCGTCAAAGCCGCCATCAGACAAAATCTTGCTAAGACCTTTGATGTCGCTGAAGTCACATGGAATGCCGCCATACTCCCCAGGTGTCGGCCATGTTTTAGGGGGCGAACGAGAAATTCCGACCACACTGTGGCCTCTGGATAAGAGTTCGTCCACAACGCACGATCCACATTGGCCTTTGGGACCTAGAACTGCAACTCTAAGGCTTTTCGGCATGATGATGATTGACGTTGTTGATTCCGCTAGGATACTGTAACACAAAAAATTTGAGTGACCGAAAGTGAAGGGCGAGGCGGAGATGAGAAGTTTCGAACATGAGCCCTTGACTTTATCAATGCATTCCTCGGGCCTTGAGCCTCCCCCATCTCCTCCCTTTTTGGCTGATCGTCATCATATTTGATTGGTTATCATAGCACGCCATAGTACGACCACGTACCTTAATGAAGCATATTCCGCACAGAAATCACCTCTGTCGGCATTATTGAGTCATGGCAGTGTGAATTTGCGGAGCCGAGGATAGCTTGTCGGCCCCACCACTAGCTCGGAATAGTCTCAAATCAGTGCAGGCGTCTCCTTTTCAAGTCTTTGGGTGGCTTATGGAGCTGTATGCTTGTAATTATTCCCGGCGGGGGAAGTTACGAACTGAGACAACGCACCCAGGAAATCGCGGGGAAACCCGTCAATAATATGTTTTCACTCTCTAAGCTTACCCCACATTTACATATCTCCGATCGTTTGTTCTTGGTCTGGTCAGCAGCGTCCTCTATTTATGCCCCTATCTCCGGATTCTTACATGCATTCAGCCAAGCTGAAACTTTTTCACCGACCCAGATTCAAGTCAAATATCATCCAAGGACCTTCCTTGCCCTTATCATGCCTACCCCAACGGACAACGTAGCAATAAATGTTCCTAATGTAATTATCCGCCTCGAATGGCAAACCTGACATTAACCAAAATTTCACAAGCTCATTGTGTGACAGGCAGACCACCTTCCCGATAAAGTCGGCGGACCGAAGACGAGTGCTATGGTCGGCCGCACATTCGAGTATCAATACCCCACTGGCCCACAGTATCGAATCAGTTTTAGCAAAGAACTAGTGTACTTCACTGTTCCCCCTCTTCCAGATGGAACCGACGTACTCGCACTTCCCTACCAACAGCGCGAGATCCGTCCGGATATATTCCTGGTACATTGGATTGGACCCGGACGGCAAGGACATGTGGCTCTGGTATTTGATCTAGAGCAGAAGCGGGTCGATTGCGCGGCCCTGATGCCAGCAGGCCTATACGAACTTTTTGATCGTGCAGTACTTAGAGAGGTCTACGAGAATGGCGAGTCCGCTTTATACCTACCATATGAGTAAATCGTTGTACTTAGTGGCAAATGAATTCAAGTGTGCACTTGTGCTGCCAATTTCGACTCGGTGGATAGTCGCTGTGTCCTGATGGTCAAAAGGAAAGCTTGGATTCCTGTAGAAGCTTCAGACCATTGAAGAGTTATGAACCAGTTGCTTCCTTCTCAAATCAGCTGGCTTAATTATAGATAAGATAATAGAACTAGTAGTTCTAGCTAAAGATCTCTTAATATAAGTCTTCTAAATTCTATCTTCTAGCTACTTAGTTAAGCTATTCTCGGATTTATAGATAAGACATAACTCGAAGAGCTACAAGCAGAATTAGAAGTGGGAAGAAGATTAAGAAGATTGTAGATTATGTGCAGGGTAGTCAAGGGGTAGGAAGAGTTAAGCAGGTCAACCAGGTCGGTTAGGTCGAACAGGGCGGGTAGGTCCTCTGGGGTTGCACCGTGTAAGGGCTGAGAGCCCTACAACTTCCCTTTAGGGAAGAAAAGTATCACGTGGGCGTATCAGTAGGGTCAATAGGTCCATAGTCCTAATTCAAGGGATGAATTAGCGACTGTGGATAATGCTGTCCGAACGGCTATTGTTTTGAATAAGTCCTATTGTTTATTCCTTACACACCGTGACATTATATAAAATTTTACTTTTTTCTTAATATCTTGCCTATTTAGGCAACTGGGGCTATAGAATTAATATAGAATAAAGATAGAATTTTACTACAGATTTTAAGCCTATTTATAGAAAAATATATAAAGAATTAACTAAGAAATCAACTTTTTAAATTGAATTATAACATTTTTATATATAATAGTAGTAATAAGCTCTAATAGATATAAAAAAGTTAAAATAGTTTTAAACTATTATACTATATTTTTACTAGTATAAAGAATAATTATCAGTTATAATTAGTACATAACTAACTGCAACTGTGCGCAACCCGCTTGCAACCTCAAACTACTAACACCCTCGGCCTGCTATGTACTATGTGCGAGTGCTGCAGATTTCCACCATAATTGCTCAAAGCCAGCGGAATTTCCTGAAATGATAGCTTAAATTTCATAACTCAAACCCTATTAATGTTACAGCGAAGACGCCCAGGCCACAGCGTTTATTGATGCCTGCCTGAAACTGAGGATCCAATTCATAGATTGCGTCGGTACGAAAAAAGAGATTAGTTACGGTACCCAACACTTTTGCAAAGTATTTACTGAACACTCTGATCTGTCGTGATCGTGGACTATTGTGCTGACCATAACCAATTCCTCCTCCCCGCTGAGAGTCTAGAAAGCCGGGTTGGCGTTTGTGAGCAGCTGAACGAAGTAGGCCTACAAATGCAACCGCGAGAAAACCATTAGTCAATCTGCGCTCACCAACAGGCTTTAGCAGGCAATATACCTGGAACCAAGTTCCCGCCTCAGGTGCCGGCTGCAAGGCATCGCTATAGCCGCAGTGGGCGTCATATCGTGTGGCTGAGCTGTTTGAGGTACCGTCACTCTCGCCTCCGGGCTTCACCCAGACGAAGGCATCGACGAGCGAGTCGCCGGTACTGATGGTCGGGCGCACGCCAAATCCAGTGCCAATGACGTTGCACCAGTCACCCCAGGCCTGTTGGCCTGTCGGCTGCTTACCGTTACGGCCTGGAATTTTCAGTTCATATTAGCTCAGGGGAAAGCTGGGAAGAAGCTTGGGAGAAACATAGACACCATACCAGTATCGACGATAAATTGAGCGTTGAAGCCCTGCGCTTGCAGCAGTGGGGCAATTGCACTGATGTACTGTTGTTCATCACAAACGCTGTTGCCCTGGGTGTATGAAGGGCAGGAAGATATGGTCCAGGCGTTGTAATTGGCGACATTGGTGGCCAGACCGCGCACTGCAGCAGGGGAACTGGCGTTCTTGTAGACACTTGCGTAGAGGTTGGCTGCAGGTTGCTGGTTGGCAGGCCAGCCGAGCCAGCCGGCGTGTCCTTCGATTTCCGGTGGTTAGATTCAGTACACAAGATGAATCAAGGATGCGTAGCTTACCGGCGTCAAGGTACATAGCCACGTTGGGGAGATTAAGCTGAGTCAGGGCATAATTGGTACATTCGAGATAGGCGCTCTGGGCATTGGCGCACTTGGCCACATTGAGGTTGGTCACCAGGTTGGCCAGACTGTCGGGCTCTATGATCAGGATGGTGTGGACATCCGAGTACTGCACCAACACCTCGCGAATAGAGTCAATGTAGGCTTTGTAGTTTGCAACCCCATTGTTTGCGATTGAGTACTCGCCATTGCTGGCCAGTGCAGCGCAGTCGCGATCAGGGAGGTCATACACTACAAATTGGCCGGCAATGGGGGGATTGGCTCCGGCCGCATTCTGCGCCTTGATGTCGGCCAGGTAAGTAGCCATGGTAGGCACTTTGGCTGCGACATCCAGCCACACAAAAGATGGCACCTTGGCTGCAGCGGTTGCCGCCGCCTGAAGCGAAGATAGGGTCCCCGTGAGAGATGGGATGGCCAGAGACGCCACTTCCGATGAGTAGTATGGGTTCACATAGAGCTGGTACCCACTGAACGGATTACCACTTGCGCTGGCTGTAGTAGTGGCCGAGGTGATGCCAGTGGAGGTTTTAGTGGTCGTCGTTCCCGCAGCATTAGTCGTAGTGGTCGTCTTCAAGGTGGTTGAAGTAGTGGTTGCCTTCGAGGTGGCGGTAGAGCCCGCAGCAGCTGCTGGCGTACACTGAGCATAGTCTAAAGCCAAAGAAGGTCAGCTATATCTCGTAATCTCCCCCAAAGAGACACAGAAGGGGCTCATACATTGATTCACAGTGGAGCAAGTGGCTCCAGCCACACAACTGGTGAGTCCGGAATAGCCCTGACCTCCACATTGACCATAGAGGGTCTGCTGAGCCTGGATAGCAAGTGGCAGCAATATCCCTGCGAGAGACAATGCACGATGCATCTTGACAGGTGGATATTCCTTGCCAGAACTTTTAATGACAATAGAGTTGCGTTGGTTGGTTTACACTTGGAGACAGCGAATTTATAGATGCTGTCAATGCCCAAAGTTCACGGATACGCCGCCGTGCTGCCCTGGGACGCATCGCTACTTTCCGCGTCGGTTCCATCTATTCTCAGTCCTGTGGAATATATCCAAGAACGAGGGCATCGGAGCAGGCTTTACTCCGTTCTGGATCGAGATAGAGGCTCCGTCAGGGTCCTTTGGTGGCGCTGCCAAGATCCCAATTGGGCGCGGAGACCACGTACAACAATCACGCGTTCCTGAAGAATCCTGCATGCATCCCCACATTTCGGCAGTTGATATATTGATTCGGACTAGGCTACATCCCAATGTCGGCTTCACGGTCCGTTCAGCCTACATTGACTCTATAATGGGGTAATTTAGCCGCAATGACCCGGTTGAACTCAAGACTACGTGTGAAACACTGGAAAATAGATCGTAGCTCTAAGTATGCGAGGCATTATTGAGTACCACACAGTATTGGTTTTCTCAACTCTTCCTTTAAAAACGTGTTCACTCGCAATAGTCGACAGCAAAATGGGCATTTTCTCGACTTTGGGGAGATGAGCCCTACCTAGTGCTGTAGGGCCTGCCAGCTCGCGTTATCGCATTTAGTTTCTAGGGAACTGCGGGGTGAAATCACTCGATGGTCACACAGTGCGCTAGGACTCGCGACTGGGGGCAACCGCTCGTCATTACAGAGTATTGTCGGAGCCCCTTGAATTTTCAGTGTGAATATATTGTCTATGTAAACTGACGGTCCCCACTTAGTACACATTGTGATCGATTAGCTAGCGGCCATAGCCTCAGTCACTACCATCAGACATGTTCAAGGCTACAAAGATATATTGCAACCAGATGGGGAAGACTGTCTCCAATTGGAGAATATCCAAAAAAAAACATACAACAGAAGGGATTCGCTGGTGGTCACCCACCCAACTACTAACCTCCCGGCGTGTGGCTTGAGTACGGCTGAGCGGACGGGAAGCCCTATTTTCCACACCCTGTGGTCGTATGTACTGTTTCTTGCTCAATTTAAACTCATCAATGAGAAAAAACTATAAGTCCTGATCAAAGTATGCAAAGCATCCGCAAGGAGATGATCCTAATTATAATAATTCTTGATAAGTTCTGAAACCTGGTCATCGTACATATAGCTGCCTGTTGTCGTTTTTTTGCAATTGCAGCCCGATTGTAAGTGAACTGCGCAGAGGGCTGACACAGTGTTGACACAGGCTCATGAGATGCAGTTATCATCTCAGCAAGCTTATCCAATAGGCCCTTTCCTCAACTGATTTATTTTCCAGCTGGATTTAACGTTACATTCAATGGCGCAATTCATAATATCAGAGGCTCTCTCGCTTTCTTCCAAAATACTACTCTATCCTCGCCTGGCGCAAACGCCAGATCAAACCGCAGTGCCACACACCTGATCAGCATCCGCAATTGCATCATTGCTAGAGCTTTTTCTGCATACGTGAAGGAGCCCTGCTGTAATGGGAGATATGCTGCTGCCTGTGGTGTGAGCGAGTTCCAGCGCTCGGGACAGTACTCGGCAGCGGATTCGAAGTATCCCTCGTCTTGTCGGATGGCCCATGTAAGGACAATGACAATGACATTCCCAGAAATGTACATCTCCTCGATCTGTAGACCTTTAGGCAGGGGCTTACGGGGAAACCCCATGGGCACCGGAGGGCGCTACCGTAAGGTCTCGTGAATCAGCTGGTTGATGAAGGGGATTTGCTTGAATTGCTTATAAGTCCAGCTTGCAGGCCCATCTGCACAACTGTCGCGTACTAACAGTTGGAGCTTCCGGTCGATCCTAGAATATTTGACCATAAAGTAAAGGATAGATAGGTCAATAGGTCTAAGTGAGGAGAGAAAGGGAGTATTGACAACTTGGTAAAGGTCATAGCGACACTTTAAGACAAAACGTCAGCTTGTGTCGACAAAAATTGCTCACATACCTGTCAGCTAGAATCAGAGTGCGAAGTGTCTGGCTCAGCTGCTTGGAGCAACAGCTTACAAAGTGCTCGAATCGACCAGTGGCCCCTGAATTTACACGCAGCATATTCATCAGCCACTTCAGGGTCGTCACAACCCCAGCTGTGGCCATGGCCCAGTGTAGCCCATCGACTGCTGAGCGCTCAAGTCCAGTCCTGTCGCATACCCGGCACTATGATTTTCCCTTTCCTCTCGCCCTTTTTATCAAGAGACTTTTACTTTAGCATGCGGAAGTTTTTGGAGAAAGTGATCCCTCCTATCACGTTCCAGCATAGAATATATTCCGTTGAACGAAGTTAACCGGCTTGCCCGTACCAATTCGATGAGCCATGAATTGATTGATCTTCGCGGCCACTCGAGCCTCGTAACTGTCCAAAGCTATGTTGACCGTATTGACCTCTCGGAACCTAGAGAAGAAATGTTGTTCCGCCAGCATCATCCTATCTCGAACGCCCAAGCCCTGGTCCCAGGCTTCTCCTTGCAGCCGATGCTTTGCTGCAGCAAGAAGGCTCTCGATCCCGACCTTATCGGGATTACCGAGTTCTGATCGTGCCAGGGGCTTTGGCGCACTTGGAGGAAGAGCCAAATACCACCTCGATGGCGGAGGCACGAAAGATGGTCAGCTCGCGTGGTCTGTTTCGGACAAAGTCACCATAACGCGCGTGTAGCTTCTGAGCATGCAGCTGGTACTCCAATTCTGTTCTCATCATAGACAAGAAGCTGTTTTCGTGGAAGTCAGTCACTTAGATTGGGGATCCACTGACAGACTTCAACCCGAGAGGTGCGCAGGAATGGGGTTTGGGAAACGACATGATCGCTTGAAACGATGCATCAAAATGCTGCTATAAAGTCCTGCCAGGAACATTGCTCCACCTACAGAGGTACAGAAGAGAGCAACAGATACCAAGCTCTGCCACAGCAAAAGCCCAAGAAGCAGACCCCTGAATAAAAGCGCATAGGTTCATTAAAGTAATTCCCAGCCATAGCTGTCAACCTCGACATCGTCCTGGTCATCTCTTTCTGCGTTGTGCTGGCGTCACCGGACAATGCCGCTGTTTTGGATCTTCCTGTATCGCGCCCTCGCCCCTGTCGTACTATTTTTCCGTGGCTTGTCGACGAGTCTTGCCAACGTCAATGTAACGTGTACGAGTAATGAGTTACCGCGCTGGATCCTCCTTCCGGCCAAATGTGTGCGGAGTATATGTGTGAGTATATCTTCACGGCTGGGGTAACCTGCTGGACACGAATCCAACCATTGACTACCATTAATGCAAGGTAAAGGAGACAGCACGGATCTAGCGGCGATTTGTACAATTATAGTAGTCGCTGGCCCAGTTGACATCATGAGGGCGTACGTCGCCTTGGAACGTGGTTAGGGCGTTGGTTCTGTACTGGCTGGCTCGTGTGCCAAAGGTGAAGAAGGCGCAGAAGCATAAATCCAAGTGTCAGCCGTAGGGGAGAGTCACATCATGAGAAAGATTTCCCGCTGCTTTAGGTCCTGTATTCTGGAGGTGATATTCATGGATTTGGCAGAATGCGACCGTGGGGAGGGATAGATTTTTGTTGCGGAGTGACCTCTTAACCTGCTCATCATGGATGCCTGCAATCCGCATTGAGAAATGTCCATAACTGGCATTCATATTTGAATATATATTCATCGGTTCTGTTATGTATTATTGATTCCAACTCGTCTTGATATTCATTGTTTGGAAAGTGGTTGCCCACAGGGTATAGCGATGTATTCTCAAGATTGAGGCTTTTCCGACTGGCCTCATAAATTCAGGTTCCGATTGACATGTACTAGACGACCACAAGATATCAAGACGACCCTCCCTTCTTCTTAGCCTGTCGCTTCCCCATGACAATTACCGGGGTTATGGTAAGAATGAGATTCGCCACCACGACAGCAGCCTGAGTCCCAAACACAGCAGCAATCCCATCGCGCTGAATCCAGGCAGGCTGGAAATAACCCACGGAGAATCCACTGGCAGTGCGCCACGCGTTGATGATCGCAGAGGTGACGGTGGACTGCTCGGGGTATTTCTCTAGAGCATACGCCGTGATGGATCTGATGACCTTCAGTTAGTTCATCTGCATCTCCCAAGGGGACATCACTTACACAGTACTGGCCACCATGCCCGCGACCACCATCAGCCACCCAAATGCCAGCCCAATCCAGTGCTTACCATAGTTCAAGGTGAAGCCATAGGTCAGAAGACCACAGGCCATGGTGACAATCGCAGCCCAGACTCCGTGAAGCCGTTTCTCTGTGTAGTATGTCTTCGGGCTGGATCGAGTGACCCAGTTGTTAAACCAGTACCCATACACCCAGCCTGATTTATCTCAGTGTGACGTCTGGACATTGACTGGAAAGAACGAACTTACCCAAAAGCGCACCGATAATGGCAGCCCATCGCAGGGAGGACGACTGGACGGTGTTGAAGAGATACGGGGGCTCGGCCACGAAAGTGGAGACGGTGACTGTAATGCCTACACTCCAAGCCGATCAGAGAGCTTCCTGCAACGAAGAAGGAGTCCATACCGATAGGCCAGCAGAAATTGACCATGGTCGCAATGCCAGTCAGCAGCAGAGGGGTCTTGAAGATAAACACTACCAGGGTCTGGCACCAGAAGAGCAGGGTCGGTCCGGCGGGGAGATTATGGTTCTTGACGCCTACCATCGACAGCAGGCGACTGTTGCGCTGGCATTGACGCCCGGGCAGGAAATATGTTTCATATCCGAATAGAAAGATTAGAAGGGTGGAAAGGCCGTAGAAAATCGTGAGGATCCCAAATGAGACTTTCCAGGTACTCCCCGCGCCGATATAGCCGGCCAGCGCGGGCCCAAGGAACGGTCCCACAAGGAATGTCGTTCCCCTGAAATGGTCAGGTCAAAACCGAGAGATTAAAGATCATGAGGAACCTACCAGATATTGATCATCTGCGACCACTCTTCATAGGAAAGTCAGTATTGCGATCCAGGGCAGTTCCTTCAGACGGTAAACGTACCTTCAGGGGGATACATGTCGTGGATGATTGGGAGACCTACCACCTGCGGCACGGTACCGAAGAGACCTTGAAGGGAGCGAAAGGCAGTGAAGACACCATAATTGTTAGACAGAGTAGCTCCCAGGACCAAGAAGGTAGTGATGAATTGAGGCCAGAGCCACACTGGAAGCCTAGCTGATTATGAACACATTTTCGACGCTGTCATCGCGAGATACGTACCGGCCGTAGGCTTCAATGAAAGGAATAGCCATCAAACCACCAACTCCTTGAAGCAGTATGCCGTAGTTCATGGTTGTCGCGGTCTTATCGATGGTGATGCCCCATTCTAAGGCCTGGGGAACGATCAGAGTGGCGCCCCAAGTCATGCCCCTGCAACACTCACATATTAGTGTTTTGCTCATGCTGATACAATCGCATAGAACAAACCCATCAGCTAGAATAGAGCTTGACATGAGCGCAAAGAACATCAGACGCTTTTTCCAAGGGCGCCAATTCCGGGGATTGCGCTGCTCATCTCCATCGTAGCCACCACCATCAGTGGATGCCTCTGTCACTTGGACGCGGTTATCCTTTTGTTCTTGAGCGAACATGCCTTCGTCAAGGCAATCTTTGACCTTGTCTGCAGCCATAGAAAGTCCTGCACTTTGAAGAGACTTCCAGCGGGTGGCTTCGCAGAGAGATGGACAAGAGTGAAGAAACTGTAGAGGGAAGTGGTGCGTGGGGGTCAGTGAGTATGAGCAGGGAGAGTGGATAAAAAGAAGACAGGATAATATGGACAAAGGATCGCTAAATGCAGTGTAGTTCCCATCTCTGGACAGGGATTGATCCCCACCGTTTCAATGCAGACGCAAATAAATGGTAAGTGAATGCAAAATGTCCCACCACTCGTGCATATTTCGAATGTCTAGACCACTGCTACCCGCTTGCCAAGGGAAACGCACCACGCCAACCAGCTCCTTAGTCTCAGGGCTTTGATATACTGGTGGTGGGTAACGACAAGGAACTAGTGATGACCGGCGGATTCCTATATATTAGGCTTCCAAGACCTCTGTCCCGTACGAGGCCCTTGTCGAGCTTCGTCCCTTGATCTGTTCTTCCAGCATGTCCGCACCCTTGCCTGGGATTCAGCTGGCTAAGACGGTCACTGCGGTTAGTGTTCGAGACACGACGGGGAATTTTATCCATGACTGGTATAGACTGACCCGGAGATAGGCCGCAGCCCTGGGGTTTGTACCAGTGGCCATTCGGTTTAGGCTGTTCGACATACTGGTGGCGATGGCACATCCTGCTCGCGGAGAAGAAGTGCTGGTTGCGTATCAGCAAACCATGGGCGTTGATGATGAGTCCATTTTGTGTGAGTGAAATAGGCTATGCTATCCTACAGTTACACAACTGATCCTTATCGGATTCTTGAATCCAGGTGCTCAGTTAGTTGGTAAATCTGGCAAGCAGTGTCTTCAGGCTTGACCCCAAATTGATCTGGGAATGCAGATGATGCCCTCTACGCAATGGCTGGACTCGGACTTGTAGACATGACCGATGACGGGGCATACTCCACCAACGAAATCACCAAGCATTTAGTGCAGACACCCTCGGCGCAACACGGAGCCTTGCACTTGTCAGTCATGCATCTCACCCTGTCTGGCTCAAATTAACCCTGCAAACCCAGCACCACCGAAGCGCTATTGGCTGGCGCTTTTCTCCTGCGTCGACTCGAGAGCGACAATTTTCGATACCCATTCCCGGAGCTCCGGACGCCAATGCAATATGCGCATAAGATGATGGGCAAGGATGAGCTCGCACAGAAGCACACGTACAGTATCATGGCCGCCGAAGGACGGATGGATAGCTTTAACAAGTTCATGGAGGGTAAGTTTATGAAGGCGACTACTGCTCCTGAGCGCCTGGCGCGATTCGGATATGACATAGAGCCGATTCTTCGTGATGCCAAGTCGCGCCGCGTCATCGCCATGGTTGACATTGGTGGTGGTCGTGGGGAGATGATGCTGGAATTCAAACGGGTTTTCTCCGTGTTGTTAGCCGAGGACCTAGTCGTTCAAGAGTTCAACCATGAGATCCACGAAATTGAGGGACTCACGCTGTCTACATGGAACTACAAAGATGTCAACAGTGAGCAGCCAATTCACGGGGCCGGGGTTTATCATTTGGCGCATATCTTGCACAACCTCCCGGATCTTGACGCCGCATGCCTGCTGCAAAAGATTTCTCAGGCGATGCATTCCCAGTCCCGCCTGCTGATCCATGAATTCACGAAGAATGTCAACAATGCGAAGATGCATGCCACCATGATTGCACTGTTCGGGGGACGGGAGAGAACTGCGACGGAGTGGCGACAGCTGGCAGCCCTGGCCGGCCTCAAGGTGACCTTTGAGGCCTATCCCGAGGCGGGGGAAGGGCTGGTGGAGATGAGAAAGCTTTGACGACCAGTCAATGTGCTGGTTTTTGCTGGAACTTAGAGTACAGCCTGCACTAGGCTGAAGTGGCCTGATGTTTATCGCACTAAAAATGATTAAATAATTCATTGGTGGATTGCTCAATTCCTACCCCATCGGAGGATGTCACGGCTGCTTCCGAACCGGAGGGGAGATAAAAGCATAGTGGATCGAAAGGGATACTCCCTATTAGTCTCTCCACTTAGGACCTATTATTCCATCACTAGCCAGGTTAGTGCTTAATCCTGTATATTGCTTTGGTATTGACCCTGATCGAGATGCAAGCACAACCAAGGGGCTAACCAGGGTCCGCAGAGACCCTTTCATCCCGGTAACGTTCAGGTTAGCATTGAATGCGAATAATTACTGTACTTATGTACTGAGAATGAATTAACCCTCTTGCTGTGTGCTGCCTGGCTGGCTTAACTAGGGTAACAGGGATTGACATCTAGTTTCAGGACTTTTTGTAAGTCATTCAGTCATTCACTGTAAGTTGAGTTGGTTGGCTATAAGAACTTCGGGCAAGAACTGTCCCAAGGGTAATGTCTGTTGCCCGCCTATTGTACAGCAGTTATTGTTGCTCAATATGCCTGTAAACCACGCAAATGACAGCAGCTATGGTCAGTTCTCCAATCTCCTTCTTCGTATGAGATTGTCACGACCTCGGTGGCTCTTTTCCTCACTTCATCGGGCTCCTCATATATCCTCTGTTTCGATCCCTTCAATGTCCCCTCAATCACCTCCTTCTCTTCTCCAGACATCATCACACCTCCTTGGTTATTCCTCATAGATAATAGAGATCCGGTTGATCTTGTTTCCTGAGCTAAAAATTGTCACTCTTTAGCTGCACCCTACATCTATGCTTCATGGGTTGGACTCCCTGGAAAAACAAACACACGAACCACAATCATGTCTAATCATTCCTTCTAGGTCTTGACTGCCATTGCAGGTCTCGCCCTATTGTCTCGCTTTGGTATCAAATCATGGATCCGGTGGGCATTACCCCGTGTCAGCTCCCCAGGTCGCGTATGGGGATTGGAAGACTTTTTCTATGCTGTAGCTTATGGTTTCGACCTGGCGCATATTCTGTTTGTTCAACGGAGGTTCGTCTGTGCCTTGAGCCAATTGGTTAACCGATGTTCATAATTTATGCAGCTATCAGTCCGGATTGGGGCGACATTTATGGTTCCTGTCTCCTGATGAGCTCAGGGATACACTGAGAAACGAATTCATATCTCAGCCACTGGGTATGCTGCCATTAGCATCCAAGAGACCTATCGATTCGGTCCGCTGATGACCTTCCAGCGGTTTTTCCTTCGATGCTGTCTCGTACGGGAATGATGTGTTTCCTCTACAGTTGCTTCAACGGGGCTGACAAGCAGATTCGGGTTTCGATCCTTGTCTGCATGGGAGTCCAGATTATCATCAACATGGTCACGGTTGTCCAAATCATCGTTCAGTGCGGACCTGATCCTTACCATTCGGTAGGACTGTGTTTGAGACACTCTGTCGATGGAAAGGTAAATCTTTGCTAACATCTTCCGTGAATCCCAGGCAAACCGAATACTCTACTTTCACTACCTGTGGGATGATCTTCCTTCCGACGGTTCAGTCATCTGCCACTCACCGAGCGTACAAACAATCATTGGGTTTGTTCAAGGAGGTAGAATCGTCCCGTCGAAGTGTTCGATGGCCGGATTCTATGTCCCAGGTACTGATGCCGCTCTAGGGTTCAATTCTAGCATGGACCTGTTCTTGACAGCACTATCGGCGATACAGCTATGGCGCTTTCCGATGCGAGCGACGGATCGGGGACCGTCGCACAGCGAATCACTTTGCTCGAGACTGAAAAGGATTCCCCGAGCGTCGCGACATCGACGTTTGTGGCAGACCTGCGTTCTGAGCGGTCCGTTGCTCTTGTCTGGCATCGCTTCGATAATCAAAACATGGGTAAGTGGGTCGATGACAACGAAGATTGGCGTCGCTGAACGGTTCCTGTTTAGCTCCTCAAAGCGATCGGCGAATGAAACGATATCACCCGTGAGTCAAATTGGGGCTGAGGCTGTCTAGATCGTGCTAACACAATGATGATCGGAAGACAACATAGTGCCCTTCGTCTTGTGGGTGAAGTACGCATTCGCTCCACTCTAGGACGAAGCAAGCACTGATGTGTCTATGTGCAGAATTGAGAACTACAGCATTCTTCTTGCGACTTGCGCCCCTATCATCCGGTTACTGGTGTCTAATATCGCTCGTCACGGATCACCGAGCAATGGACCGGGCTAGGGCCTAGAATTGGATACGGTTCTCCACACACATGAGCAGGGCACGGTGATTCTGGCAGTGCCTCCGAAAGGTGTTGAAGGGGAGCCGATCTCGGCACACGACGAGCATGTAGGGGGATCTCGGGGAAGAAGCGTGATTATTCATACCGATATCCGCGTGGATATTGACTCGAATAGTTCGTCCACGAAACGCCTCGTGGGTTGATCTGCTCTTTATCTGGTGTTTAGCTCCAAATCGGTCACCTCCTTGGATTGGGATCCGCCAATAATCGAACTTCGGGGATCAAGTACGGGATAGTCCTCGGCCGAGCAATTACTGACCAAGCCCACAGACCGACATCCTACCAACCCTGTCGAGGCATGACCTGGGCACATCCGAGGTCTTACTATCTAGGCCCCAGTCAGAGTTTCTCAGCAGGCTCATCCATCCCGAGGTGGATGTCAAAGGCAATCCAGGTGGCGTCAATCGGCGGGTCCGATCACACTCCAGGGAATTTGTCAGTGAGCACTGGTCCAATCCAGATTCTAGACGAGTCATTATGTTCGAAAAAGGAATGCACCTGTCAAAGTCGATACAATTCATGCGCTGCGGAGGTTGGGAGGTTTATCTCCGGGCCAATGCGAGAAGAGGCCGTAAATGATCTGTAAATTGCCCTTCTTTGTCTACAAAGAAACTCATTCCCCCCTCACCCCCTGAAATTCTTATCTTGTCACTCCGGTCCACCACATGTTCCTCATCACCACAACTCGTATCTTGACCGTCTCTTCCGCATATGAAAATATAGTTACTGAGCGTCCACGTTGTATAGACCATGAGGTTTACTGCGCACTCTCCTTGCCTGACAACCCGCCCAAGGACGCCCCGTGAGAACGGTTCCACCCAGCGATCATGTCTGGCCCAAAACCCAACGATAGCAAGTACGGTGGGTCACATCTCTGTAGAATCAATCAAGCTGACTGCGAGACTAACTCGCCTAACCTTTGCTAGGCCAGCCATATGTGGCAGCCTCTTGGGTAGGTCATCTACCAGCACCCGACCCAGGCAGTGTCTGATATCAACTTCTAGGCATTGACAGCAATGGCTAGCTTAGCCATGCTGGCTCGAATTGCCATCAAGTCCTGGATTCGATGGGTAGTGCCTCGTGTCAGCTCCCCCGACCGCCTGTGGGGCCTCGAAGACTTGTTCTACATTGTTGGGTATAGCCTCGATCTCGCTTACATGGCACTGCTGCAGAAAAGGTAGAGTTAGTCTGTTGGTCTAGCCCTTTCGTCTGTCCAGATCACATAGGGATTCAGGATCTAAGTTTCAGGTGTGCAGCTATAATGCAGGGCTGGGACATCATATCTGGGACCTCACGCAGGCGCAACACACCGAGCTCCTGAAATACATGTTAATCGGTCAGCTCCTGGGTGAGTGAGCCCCTTGCGAACGTCCTTCCATTCGCGAGGCAACTCAGCTGAGCAAGGTTGTAGCATTTATTGGTGCCATGTTTGCCCGCACTGGAATGTTGTGTTTCCTGCTGCGGTGTTTCAATGGGGCTGACAAGCGCATCCGCATCTTCATTTTCGCCTGCTTGTGTGTTCAAATCGTGGTCAACGTAGCGACCAATCTGCAAAGCCTCCTCCAGTGTGGGCCCATTCCCCCTCGCACGGTGAGGCCCTCCACTGCCTCTGGTCTCAACCCCGAAGGATGGCTTATCCCGCTTACTGCGACTTCTAGGTGGATCGATTCGAATATTTCCACTACCTCTGGGATCCCAGACCTTCGGACGGCTCGGTCGAGTGTCAAAAGCCTTCCGTACAAATTATCACGGGATACGTTCAAGGAGGTGGGGCCTGATTGAGCTTTGTCTCTCATCCTATCAGCCTGCATACGCTAAGACCTTCTTAGGATTCAACTGCGCAGTCGATCTTGTGCTGGCAGTCTTAGCGGCAGTGCAGCTCTGGCGGTTCCCCATGGCCAACAAGAACCACATCACCTGGAGTGGTGCTTCGTTTTGCTCTCGCTTCAAGAGTATCCCTGCCGAGTCCCGGAACCGACGTTTATGGCAGACGGGGGCTCTCAGTGGTCCGCTCCTACTGTCCGGGATTGCGTCCCTGGTTCGCATCTCGGTATGACCAGCGACTGTTGTGTAGATACAGGCAAAAAGCATTGCTGACTAGTTGGAATGCAGCTAATGCAAACGATGGAGGGCGCTGCTGACATGACTTGTGAGGATCCAATACCATACCAGGCATCGCTCCTTTCCCCGAACTGACCTTGCTCGCTAGATCGAATAGTCCCATTTGGCCTGTGGGTGAAGTGAGTTTTGCCTCTTCTCTCCTGGGCTCCAGTGTTACTCTACTAATATTCTGCCATGACACAGACTTGAAAATGCCAGCCTCTTGATCGCCCCGTGTGCACCGATTGTCCATTTGCTGGTGTCACTGATGTCGAAGAAAACCCCGAGTCAGAGCTACCCCTGGTATGGCAACCAGTCCGGGGCAGGTGGACCGGCACTGGAGTTGGAGACAGTGCCGTACAGCCAGGACAAGGGGACGATAGCTATCTCGACGGTGGACCATGAGAGTCTCCACGACCGACGCCCAATAGGTCAACAAGAGACCGGCAGTGAAGCGGTCCTCGTCCGGACGGATATTCTGGTAGAGTATGATGCATCGGAGCGAGGGTCGATCCCGAGTTTAGTGGCTTAAAATATCATGATGTACTTACTATGTATGGTAGACCAGGATAGACAGACAGCAGGCGGGGTTGGCGTCGCATGACACTCAGCCGTCGGACCGAGGCATATTTATAGCAAGTAGAGAGACTGTTTCACTGGCAGCATACAGCCAGCAGCTATATTACTCCTCCGCAACTCCATCTTCGTAACATTCATACTTCTAGAATCTCCCAAGGTTCTCGTTCCGCACTGTACATAATTAAAGTACCAATCCACAAGATGCCCCTCCCGGAGACCATGCGTGCTGTCGTCTTCCACGGACCTTACAACGTGGCTGTTGAAGACCGACCCACCCCTAAACTGCAGACCCCTAAAGATGTGATCCTGAAAGTGTCCGCGTCAGCTCTCTGCGTAAGTCATTCGATCTCTACTCCCCACCCAGCGTGGCTCGAGAAATGCAGGCTCAACGAAGTAAATAGGGCTCGGACCTGCATTTCTATCGTGGCCACCTCCAATGCCCCCGCGGCTTCATCTGCGGCCACGAATTTGTCGGCACCATCGCAGAAAAAGGCGAGGAGGTCTCTAACTTCGAGATTGGGGATGCGGTAGTGGTCCCCTTCTACGCGACCTGTCAGGAATGCTACTATTGCGTGCGAGGACAGGCCAGTCGCTGCAGCCAGGGCTTTCTCTTTGGCAATTCGGCACCGGCCAACACCATCGACGGCGGACAGGCTGAGTTCGTTCGTGTCCCCTTGGCCCCGACCACTCTGGTCCACAAACCCTCCGGGGTACCCGACCATATGCTCGTCCTGATGGCCGACATCTTCCCTACCGGCTATTTCGCTGCCTCGCGATTCCTGGCCAATCTGGCTGAGCGCGACCGTAGGGAATACACGGTCGCGGTGGTCGGGTGCGGGCCGGTGGGGTTGTGCACCATCGTGAGTGCCCTCACCATGGTCGACAAAGTCTACGCCATCGACTCCGTCCCCGAGCGTCTGGCAGAAGCAGAACGACTCGGCGCTACTTCCATCCCTCTATCCTCCGACCCCGTGAGCAAACTCCGTGAAGCCACCGACGGCCGCGGGGCGGACGTGGTGATCGAGGTGGTGGGCCACGCCGATGCCTTCATGATGTGTTTTGAGATGGTGCGACCGTGGGGTACGATCCATTCCATCGGAGTGCACAGCGAGATGCTCCCCTTGAACGGCCAGCGGTGCTACGGCAAGAATGTCACCATGGCGTTTGGACGTTGCCCCGTGCGGAGCATCTTCGACGAGGCGCTGGCGGTGTTTCAGAAGGTGTACCCCAAGTTGGAGTTTTTGTGTGGATATCGCGTGCCTCTGGAGGAGGCGCCTCAGGCGTACAGGGATTTTGAGGCGCGGAAAGCCCATAAAATTGTGTTTCGTCATGGAGAGTGATGCTTGCGGTAGCGATAATGAAGTGTGACTTACGTGGTAGTGTCGTCCGTACAGATCTATCTTCATCACAGTGGAATGAAGAATTTCTCCTCCTCGGCCGCTTTCCTCGCCGACTCCTGCGCCCCGCGCTCAATGCGCTCCTGATACTCTGATCCATAAACCCTCAGCCCCGTTTGAACCAGCTGCTCCTTCCGGTGTCGGAGACCATCCCAGGCCATCCGAATGGCAGGCATCTGTATGCATATGAGCTGCCACGTATAATTGTTGTGAGGAGATGGTTGAGACACCAACCTTCGCTTGGCTCCATGCCCTCAAAGGACATCTCTCCTTCAACTAATCTTTCCGCCTTGGCTTCCTGGCAGTAAATCCGCGCCCTCTGGTGCTGCTTCTTGAAGTTCTTGGCTGCTTCGTGAAAAGCATGCTTGTTGATGTCGAAAAGAGGGCCATCGTCGCTGTGGAGGCCCTCGGTGTTGGTCAGATAGTCCCACAAGGCGAGGTCGATGGTTTTGTCGGCTGGGTAGGTGTGGAGAGACATCGTGATTGTGCAAATTTAGAGTTGGTTCAGCTGGGATTCGAAAAGGTGCATGGTCGCTGTCCTATATATCCACCCTCGTCGGGTGTTATTTCCGTGTTCTCATCTGTTCTCTCGCCCGATGCTCAGCTTCTATTCGAATATGGCCGTGCATCGGGTATCTTGTCCGAACTACGTGGGGGATACGATCTGGCCCGGTTGAGGACCCACTCCTTGACTCGCAATTGCCACTGTTCATCGACTGTCATGTATGCATTGAAGATGGACACTATCGAGCATATACCCAGATGACCGTTGGTGAATGGTTGTGAGTTCGCAAGCTAGGTGGGTGACGGAGGTAAGTAGAGTTTCTTTCGCCATTCACAAGCCAAAGAGCAGAATGATATCCATCAAGTAAACACATCTGCCTGCTTCTGCAACTCCAGGAAGATCCCCTTATCATGGCCTGGGATCACTTGCCCCTTGGTAATGCGCTGCAGATGCTTCAGCCGCTGAGTGCTTCGGAACCAGGAGGGATGATCCCGCGCCAGCCAGCCCTGAGGGATCCCATCGCGCCACTAGATATCCACATTAGCTCCTGTGCATCTGCATAGGGTGGACGTACATTCTCAATAACATGGCAATGATCACTGATGAAGAAAAACGTGCCAGTGTTCAGCATATTGACCTGCATTCCAATCAATCCGTCGGTGTGCCCGGGCAGATGATGGAGAGTGATGCCCTGACAGAAGTCGAGCGTTTGGTCGTTGAACGTCTTCCAATTCCTAGTCGAACCCCTTCAGCCAACCAGTTCTAACTCTCAACACAGTGAGTCCCTTACAAAGACAACTTCAAATAATGCTCCAGATACACTCCACTATCGGCCCCAGTCGCGACCGACCAAAACGCATTCGTCAACTCCCTCTCATGCACCCAGATCTCAACATCCGTACGATCGAAGAATTCATCGAGCCCTCCCGCATGATCCAGATGCAGATGGCCGATAATGATCTTCCGCACATCCTCAATCCGATTGCCCGTGGCCTCGACCGCAGCCCGCAACTCGTGGCGCGGTTCGTAGCGCACGCGGGCGAAGATATCGGCCACCACCGGGCCCCAGACCTCGGGGTAGTCTTTTCCACTGCCCGTTTCCCAGAGGATTAAGCCTTCGTGCGGGTGATCGATCAGCACGCAGTACATGGGCATCTCGCAGCGCTCGTTGACGAAGGAGGCGTGCTCGGTGGATTTGAGGCTGGTGTTGCCGCCGCGGACGACGAAGCCCTTGTCGCATTCGAGCCAGCCCACCTCTAAAAGGTGGAATTTGGTGCCGAGGGGGCAGACATTGGAGATCGCGTGGGGGACCGCGCCTTGAGAGAGTTGACTTTCAATTGCGGACATGATCACATGGAACTTCCTGAAGCCTTGAGGGTGATGAGAGTTCACTTGGAAGTGTTATTGGGGTTGACTACTCTGTATGGGTGTTAAGTTGTGTGCTGTCTATAAATAAAGGTTAACCCCGCACGATGTGACAGGGATGAAGGCACTGATGATGTAGAATTGCGGGGTCGATTGAACTTCATGTTTCTCTTGTCCGGTCGATGAGTAAATCCGGTAGAGATAAGTGAATCTGCGGAATTGGGAAATCGGACCAAGGGGAAATTGGGGACTGGGGATTGGAGACAGCTCTTTATAGGAGCCGAGGGGCCGAACAACAACCCCGCCGGCTGCTTGTTATACATCATTGTTCTATCGTACTATAGCTTTTCATATATACATCTGACAGGTATCTCGCATTGCAACACCGGTTCAATTCAATTCAAAACAAACCCCAGCGCACAATGACTCCCCTCAGGCAAGGAAGTTCTTCAAGAAGTCCAACTTGCCAAGCGGCACACCCTGGGCGCGCAGGATGGCATACGTAGTGGTGATGTGGAAGTAGATGTTCGGCAGCCCGAAATTGAGCACATACGACTCCGGAGTGAACTCGAGCTCCTGGTCACCGAGGGGCGCCTTGAAGGTAGTCTGCTCCTTGCCGGCGAAGGCCGCCGGAGTGATCTTCTGGACTTCAGTGAGGGTGTTGTCGATGCTGGTGTAGAGCTCCTGGTAGGTCTTGGCCTCGGGGGCAGGCGCGGCCGGCTCGACCAGCTGGGCGCGCGCAATGGTCTTTTCAATGAGCAAAATAGTGATGAAGATCTGGAAGGAGAGTGGCTTCATATCCTCGTGCAGACGGGCATTGAGGAGGTCGTCGAGGGGGATGCCCTTCTCAGTGGCATACTCCTCGCCCTTCTTGAGGATGTGAGAGAGGGTCTTGAGACCGCTGATGAAGGTTGGGATCGTGGTGTTGTAGAGGGAGGAAGACATCTTGGCAGTGATGGTTATTGGAGGGAGATGGCGTGCTGGGGATAGCTGATTGCTCGATTTATGCTTAATATATTATGATGGGATATTATTGCCTGATGGTGGCTTTAGTTATAGTCCCTGAGGAAATTGGTAATCCACAGTGTGGAGAAAAGAAAAAGGGGATGATCATTAGTAATCGACCTTCCATGCGGTTCTATTCCCCCCCCAACCCAGGGAGATCTGCACGCTACTATTAACCTCAAACAATTACTTATTTGGTTTGACTGATGTCTGACATGACAAATCCAGCACCAGGCTCCAATGATCAATTGACTCGTAGCTTGGTTCACTTAACAGGTTCACTGTCCGGCTGACTGGTGGTCAGACCTAGTAACCCTGCACAGCCATGGTCTGTCGAATGGCCGGAGCAAGCAGACAGCTTTACAAAGGCTCAAATCAAGAAGCTCCCTTTCCATGCAGCCACAATTGCCTGCGCAACAGCATCCTGAATGACAACCCGTGGATGATAGTCATTGAACCACAGACAGGTCACGCCGTCGGAACTCCAGCATTCAGCCGCCGCTCCGCCGCTGTCCAGAATACTGTGCAACACAGGCTGGGTATCCACCACCGTGACAACGCTATCGGGGTGTGACTGACCGAGGGCCTCGCCTTCTCTGGAAGGATATTGTCTCAGTGCTCCACGGCCGCCTTCACGCGAGGCACCGTATGATCTGCATTCGACCCTTGCATGAGAGCGACGTTAAGATATAAAAAAAGGGTCCGATGTCTGACTCCACGATCATGCGGGGCCACAGCTCATAAGAGGATTGGTCCAAGTCTCGCCATCTGACATGCAGGGTAAATGAGCTTCCATTTGAGTGCTTTTGCACTACCCCTCCGCGGAGACGGGGCTTTTGCCAAATTCGATCAGGGATCCGGCGGGGGTTCAGCTTTGGTTGACTCTTATCACCATGTCGGAGTGAGCACGGTATCTGGGGGTGATCTCACACTATCCCGTCTCGAGACGAGCGGACTACAAGATGACTGTTTGCCCGACACTTCTCCGGCTCAACGGAGGCGTGGGAAATCGTTTGCGTTGTTTCACTTTGGACGCGGGCATTTGCGCATAGTTAGATACGATTATCGATGAACTCTAATGTGTACAAATGGGCACCCTACGCCAATCTATCAGAATCCCGGGTGTCCGACCTCTGCCAGAGCCTCTTTGACCACCTCTTCCAGTCCCTTTGCCGGTAGTGCGAGCTCGTGGTTGCGCACCGGCCGTGCGGGTTCGAAATGTCCACTGTAATCTCCCTGCGTGAACCCGATGTTAATCAGCCCGTACCCGGCGAGAGCGTCCCCTTGCGCCCAGGCGGCCTTTAGCTGAGGAATCAACTCCGTGGTTTGAATCGATTTACGTTGCCAGTGCTCACCCGTGAGGCGCTCAATGGTCTCGACGAGCTCTTTCTGGGAGGTGGCAAAGTCACTCGTGAAGACAATCTGGTTGGCCGTAGAGCTGGGGTTCAAGAGGATGCGATTCAGAGCCAGGGCTGTATTGCTGAGAGTTGTCGTGGAAAACTTGCCAGTGCCCTCATCCGTAAAGGTTATCGTTCGGTTGGGATAGTCCAGACCGAGGAAATTGTTGCGCATAGACCTACAATAACCCGCGAGTCAATCTTCACCAGGTTCACCATGCATGACATCAAGAGGTTAGGAGAAAGGAACCATACCAGCCAAGCCACATGCCGCAGGCAATTGCAGTCCAGGTCAAGCCACTCGACTCCTTCGATCGGAGATACTCTTGCACCAAGCCCTTGTCTTTAAAGACGGGGGAAAGTTCCTGTGCAGCTGGGGTATTGTTATCCAGCCCGTATTCGGAGGGGACAAATCGCTTGACCCCAGCCGTGATGGCAGCATCGATGAATTTCAGCTGTTCAGCGACGGAGAAGCTCGTGATTGCATTGACGACTGCATCCTGGCCCTCGAAGGCTTTGACCAGGTCTTCCTGCGGATAGGAGTCTGCGATGGTGATGACCTTTGCCGCGGATGGGAGACTGGCGCGAGCCTTGGACGACTCTCTGGCCAGGACGGTAACTTTGAACGCAGGCTCGGAGAGGAGTGACTTGAGTAGGACGCTTCCCAGAGAGCCACCTCCCTGTGAGAGTTAATTAGTTAGCGAGGGACTGCCAGCGCGGAGTGGTAGACTTACACCGACAAGGATAATATTCTTGTAGCCCTGTTCGCTCATGTTGTTGGCGAATTATGAAGGTGTTGATGTCTTAAGTCGAGGGGTAAGAGTTTGAGGCTTTGCAGATAGACTTGCAGTGCTTGAAACCCTCTGAAGGCCGGAGAGGGACTTTATATAACATGGAGTCCAGTGTAGACAACCTTGTATGGTATGTGATGATCAAGCAGACATCGAGTGGTGCAGGATCACTAATCTGTGTCAGCACATCCAAATCCCGGATCAGTAATCATACGCGACCGTCTGCTCGTATCTGCTCTTTGTCTCTCTCTAGTGCGCATCCTTTACTTTATCTCCGTCTGGTTTGAATCTTGAGGAGATCTAATTATCTGCCAATGTGCAAAGGTGTGTCGAAACTCGCCCACAATCAGCTCCTCGCGGGGAAAAGTGTCGATGAAAGCTGGCATACAATGTCCACTTTTCCCGGTTTCCACAGGATATACTTGTTGTGCTATATGCACATGTGACCATCCGCAGGCGTCCTGATAATGGCACTGTCGTATCGGATGAGCTCGGAAGTCTTGCCATTATGTTCAGTACCGCACGAAGTACATGTTCTACAAATTGGCAATGAGGTCGAAAGGGAAGACTGGAGATAATCTGGAACTGTCTATGAAGTATGCTGGGCATAATTTATGCAGCGATGATTGGCCAATGAGTCAGCAATGCACCCGACTTAACCGGCATAGCGGGGTGTTTGTGGAATGATGTCAGCTTCACTGCATCGCACCACTGACTCTTTCTTGCACGATAAGATCCATTCACTTCTACAGTCATCTTGTCGTCACCTTCCCCATCATTCTCGCGTCATGGCAATCTTCATGCATATGAGGTGCCATGATGGCCCCTCACTACCTGGGCTTCAAAACCAAATCCACCCCCCATGTATCGCGCGACCCCGCTCTATGCCATACGACTCCCCTTCCGTCCTCCCATCGCCCCACGAAACGCGTCTGCCTTCCGCTTAATCTACCCACGAAACTTCTCTCACACCTCCTATAGAGACATGAGAATCGCTATTACAGGTGCCCGAGGCACCGTCGGGCGCGAGGTGGTCAAGGCAGCCTCAAAAGCCGGCCACTCCACTGTCCAAGTGGACCGCACCGATACCGACTACGACGGCACCCCCAACTCGGAGATGAAGACCGCAGACACCGCGAACGACTACGAAGCCACTCTGAAGGCCTTCCAAGGCTGTGACGCGGTCATTCACCTCGCCGCCATTCCCGACCCGGTTGACAAGGGCGACGACCTCGTGCACAACAACAATGTGAACTCCGCTTTCAACGGCTTCCGTGCCGCCGCCGAGCTGGGCATCAAGCGCGTCTGCTACGCCTCCTCGGTCAACGCGATCGGGCTGGAATATGCCAACCGACCCCTGAAATTCGACTACTTCCCCGTCGACGAAGAGATCCCATCCCGGCCGACCGACGCTTACGCACTCGCGAAGGACGAAGCTGAGCTACAGGCGCGGGCCTTCGCTCGATGGTATCCTGGGATGAACATTGCCTGCATGCGCATCCATGCGGTTGCGGGTCGGGCCGATGCACAGAAGGGACACAAGGAGAATTGGGATAGCTCGGCGGTGAAGAGTCTGTGGGGCTGGGTTAATCCCCAGGCCACCGCCCGAGCATGCTTGTTGGCTGTGGAGAAGAGTGATCAGCTTAACGGATGCGAGGTCTTCAACATCGTGGCCCCAACGACCACGCAGGACACCCCGTCCCAGGAACTGGCTCAGAAGTACTACCCTGACACTGTGATCCGGGGGGAGCTATCAGGGAACCAGTCTTTCTTCGCCACGGACAAGGCAAAGAAGATATTGGGTTGGGTGCATGACGAGAAGGAGTGACTGTATCAAGATGTTGTGATTTCTTCTCGCCTGTAGAATTTGTATATGAGGTTTATGCAATAGCGTTATAATGAGGACTATGATGTTCACAGCTCGACCATTGACCGATCTCAGCCGTATATTGACGGATGTAGACAACGTTATGATATTCAATTTTTTCGATGTGCGCGCGAAGACATGCAACATAGGGAGTCTTCAAGCTGCAAATGAAGACCTTGCCTCAGGATAGGATAGACAGTACGAGGCGTATCCGTTGGGGATGTTTACCGTATCGCCGTGTCTACCTTCCGCTGCTTCGCTGCGTCTCTCCATTTTCCATACCAACATCCTTCACGCTTTGAGATGCTCCTCCAAGCAGCGCCGCTGTTGAATCAGGAAATCTCAGCGCAATGCAATTGATCAAGAAGCTGAGCAAGAAGCCGATCGATGACACTGTATTGACTGCAACCGCTCCGCCTAGGAAATGCAATCGCGTCAGGCAATTGAATCGGTTTATCTGGTGACTATAAGTGGTTTGGAATTCAGGTAAGGGCTTCAAACTGCGCTCAGCTTATGTGTATACCGTGTAATTGACGTTTGCCGGAGACTTCAGTGTGCCGTCCTAGCCGGATAGCCTAATCGGTGTGTATCGGCACTGCTATCTGGTAGTACAGTACAAGTACACTCACCTTCAAGAAATATCCCCTCTGAATACTGCAAGGCCCCGGTGACATGAATGTACCAGCCCCTTAGCCGAGTCAGTGTCGGATAAGCGGCATCAAGCAGGCAGGAAATATATTATTTAATGATGTCCGTGTTTCTCAGAAAATTCTTAGGAGACCGGCTATCTCATGAACGAAACTTTGACAGCTGCCACTCCTATTGACTCCACTGACATCACCAAACTCTTTGAACTCCTCCTGCTGCTCTGAAACTCATGAATCATCACATCGGCGGCGATAATGGCCACGCGGGTCTGGCCTCTCTTCTATCGACCCGCCACTCCAGTCGCAACTTCCTCCCAACCCCAGTACCAGTCGAGCATCTGACGAAATGCCTAGCGATGGCCCAGCAATCACCCTCTAACTCTAACACCCAACCCTGGCGCGCCATCTTTCTCACCGGCGACACCCTCTCCACTCTCAAGAAAGCCCTAGTCTCCGCCGCAACCCAGAAAGACCCAACAGAAATCATCACACCTCTCCCCACAACATACCAGCACTACCGCTCCAGCCTAGGCTGCAAAGTCTACGGCGAAGCACTAGGCATCGCCCGCGCTGATATCCCCGCGCGCACCGCGGCCGTGCTCCGCAACTTCGAGTTCTTCGGTGCGCCGTGGGCCGGGATTGTATATCTGGACCCGTTCGTGCACGACAGGCCGGATTTGGCGCAGGGTGTGGGCATGTGGCTGCAATCGTTGCTGTTAGCGCTGACAGAGCACGGGCTGGGTACGTGTGTTCTGATCAGTGTGGCTGAGTATGCAGCGGTGATTAAACGCGTGTTAAAACTTCCGGACGAGGTGACGGTTCTGTGCGGGTTGGCGGTGGGGTATGAGAATCCTGATGCTGGGGTGAATCGAGTGGTTGTAGGGCGGCATGCGTGAGAGGAGTCTCTTACTATTATGCTGTAATGCTGGGAATTTGGGTCTTGTTGGATCGTATAGGCCTTGGGTTTAACCAAGAAGGGTGGGGATACATGCTGGTTGACCCGGCAATTTTAGCCGTGATTGAATGAAGATCTGTGATTGTGCATGAAGGAATATGATACACCATAGCGATACACGCAGTGATAAGCTGGCATCGGATTTCCTTCCTGCGTCGAATCTATCAGTGCTCCAGTGCTTCATTGCTTCTCATTTCCAGGACCACCCGGCGGTGGCTGTTGGCCCATTCCTGGACCCATCCCTGCCAAAGGAGGCATTTGACCCTGAAGCATGGCCTGCTGCCACATCGTTGGATTCATATTCTGCCACATTTGTGCCATTTGTTGCACTTGTGGTTGCGGTTGCTGATTGGGGGTAATACCACCCAGCTGCTGCCCATACCCGAAGCCTGGCTGTGCAGCTGTCTGCGGCCAACCTGGTGGAAAAGCCTGAGGGTATCCAGGCGGCTGAGCAGGATATCCCGGAAAGCTTGGAGGCGAGGTGAGCGGAGGCGGAGGGATGCTTTCCTGCATCGAGCTGCTGAGTCCATTGAACGGCGACATTGGCGTGGGAGGGGAATTTAGCGTCAAGGTCTGGGACAACCCAGACGGCGAGAGGAGCCCAGGTGTCGGAGTCCCCGGGACGGACCTCTTCTTCTCTACGGACCATACATCCCCTGGATCCTCCAGGTCCGAATGGTCTTCATCGTCTGTGAAGTTCATCTTCTTATCGTCTAGCTCGCGGGCACGAACGCCTCGTCGCTGGGCCAGCCGATCTTGATCAACCTTGTAGAGTTTTTTCAGATACTGCATGAACTCAAAATAGGCCTTGGAGACAGTTTCCAGGTGCGTGACGCTGAGTCTGACCTCCGCCGTGGGGTCGATGATCTTCTCATGACTGCCGCCGCCAGCCTCAAACTCGGCCAGGGCTAATGCAGTCTGACACGCGTTGCGGATCTGTCGCCCATTCCAGCGCATCTTCTTGTGCGTCTTCCAGTACTTCTCGACGTGCGCCAGAATAGCATCCCGGTCGATGGTGATGTTGCGCTTCTTCTCCGTGAACCGCTGCTGGATGAGCCTCATGTTTAATAAGAAGATCTCCCTGGTTGCCGGGAGGGTCAGTTGAGGGTAGTGCAGACTGATATGGATACGGGATCCGAATGCCTCGTCGAAGTCTCCGATGCGGTTGGTGGTGAGGAATAGGATTCCGGCATAGTATTCGAGCACTCGCAGGAAGACTAGAAGAGCCGGGTCAGCATGTCTGCCTTGTCGTGAGGCACCGGATCTCGAGCATACCAGATACCAAGCCGTTTCGCTTGAAATCCTGCGGTGTCCGTTTGGCCAGAAACACGTCGGCCTCGTCCAACAGGAGAATACAGCCCCATCGATGAGCTAGGGCGAAGTTCGTTTCCAGAGCATTCTCTACGCTCTCCGCTGTAGTTCCCAGGTCACCTTCAATGAGTGTCAGCACACGGTCCGTTGATCATGAACGTTGATGGCCTCACCGCAGGTGATTTGAAAGAGAGGCTTCTCGAATAGCTCAGCCACGCCCTCTGGTGCAAAGGTCAGCAAAGGTTCCCTCTATCAGATGAGATACTGACCTGCTGTTGTGGTCTTGCCCACCCCCGGGGCGCCGTGAAGGAGAATGATGAGTCCCTTGCCTAGACCCTTTGGCTTAGCATGAAGAACACCGGCTGGGAATCGTGTGAAGATTATTACCTTTCCCGCGCACGATATCGACCTGCTCATTGGCAGCCGTTGGGGATTCCTTGTCTCGATAGTGTTGCGCCACCAGGGAGAGCAGCATCTTCTTGTGGCCCTCCTCCAGCACCAGCTGGTCAAAGGCTGTTTCACGGACCTGCGGTTTCCCTTGGTCCCCATCTTGGCTCTCCACCCGAATGCCGCGGATATAGCTGAGATGCGTGAGGTCAAGCTTTTCTGGAAGAGCGGATTAGCACTTAATCTGTCTGCCATGAAGCTAGGGTCGTCGCTCACCCCATTTGCGACTTCGCAAACTGAACCCAAAGACACGAAAACTCATAATCACATAATCGTCGTCCGAGAGGGCGTCATTGGATGATGGGGAATCCTTCGCACGGGGATAAATGGCGACGGAAGGCTGCTGGCCCAGCTCCTCCGGGATCAGACTATTGCGATAGTGCTCATTGCGCTTGTGTTCAGCATACATATCCTTATGGACACGGTCTCTGGCGCAACACGCAGCTGTGCAGTCAGAGTCGGACGAGTCGGGGACCTCGATACTAATGAGACTCTTGATCTTGGGCCGCCATACCTTCTCCAACTCTTCTTCCCCTTCTTCTCCATGGTTCTGGCCGAGCTCAGCAATTGGTTTGGCTTTATCTTCACTTTCAAAGGCTTTCTCGAAGTCGATCACAACCTGTCCGTCTACCTCATCGCGGGTCTCGAGCGTCAGGCCACTGTAATGCATGTGCTTCTTGGCCAGGACTTTGATGAACATCTTTCCACGGTCAATTAGCTGCTGGCGAACATCCACCGTGCTGGCCAGATTGCCTGCTCGAGTCCCGGCGAGTCGCAAGGGGAAGACACGCAGCGATGTGATGGCTTTCTCTCCGTCAAATCGTGCAATCCGAAATGTCTGCAGCACCGGTCCCAGAAATTTGCCGTCAAAGTCCACGTGCGCACATTGAAGCATCACGGTGGGTTCATCCTTGCTGGACGTCTCCCAGTTCCGATAGGGAGAAGTGACTTTGTGCGGCGAGCTGGTGACCCCAATAATGCGGTATGCTTGCTTGCCTCCCTGGTCGACCACCTCATCGCCCGGTCGGAAGAGATACCAGACATCGTCGTAAGACACCCGATGGCACTGATCGCTGCGCACGTAGTCCATCTTGGCTTTGAGGTCGTGGTCCAGGAAGTCTACCAAGACTTGCAGTTGATCGAGGGCCGTCTCCGACGAGGTGAACTCATCTTTGAGGACTTCGTTGACGGGGTTACCTTCGCCCTCTTGGCTTTCTTCTGGGGTTGCGGCCGACGTTGGGCTGCTGGGAGGGCTCGGGTTCTCTTCTTTTTCAGCTGTTTTCTGCTCTTCCTCCGGGTCTGCCGGTTCGGATTTGTTCCCCCGGTGCTTCTCCACGAGCACTGTGTGGATCTGGCGGATCTGTTCTTCAAATAACACGAGGGCTTTAAAAGGTCGAATCATGACCAGCATCTCGTCTTCGTCAGTGAAGTGCTCCGGGTCCAGTTTCTGCAAGATCTTGAGGATATGGCGGGAGTTGATGCGAATTCGCTCGGGCATTGGTCCCTGACCGGGGGGGTAGAGTCGCTTCTTAGTTGCTGCGGGGGCTTTTTTCTCCTGCGGAACGCTTTTGTTCATCGTCCACCATGGTCGGTAGTAGGACATGAAGCTGATGACTGGCTCGCCCTCGAGGACATCGATTGCAAAGGTCTCTTTTGCTTGATGATAGGGGGTGGAGAAAGAGGCCCATTCGACCCGATTCAGCTTCGCCGTCGCCCACTCGGAGGAACCCTGCGACGCATCGTCGTCGTCGTCGTCGTCGTCGGCTGCTGCTTCTGTTGCTCTGTTGAGGGGTTTTCCCCGGCCCTGCTTGGGATCCTTTTCCGCCGGGAGGAGACTGGGATTCCACTGGCGCACTGAGGCCTCCAGCATGTTCAGCCGCTCGGTCAATTGGGTGTTCTCGGTCTTCAAGTCCTGCTTCTCCTTGATCACTGTCGAGTAAGCATCGTCTTCATTTTTCATCCATTTCAGCTCGGCCTCGACAATGCCCATCATCACTTTCCTCCGCTCATGCAGCTGGGCCACATCGGTGGTGATCGGGTCGGTGACTCGGTCCAAGTAGTACGACTGATTGCTTCGATCAGAGTAGGTTTCTGGTCTGAACATGTCCCACTCATACAGCCACGGCCGACTACTCATGCCCCCCGGCCCCAGCGCTCGTTGAGCCATCATTCGCTGCCCTCGCTCGAACTCCAACTGTTCGTGGATTTTTTGGATTTGCGCCTGTAAGTCAGCAACCGCGGGGTGTGTCGTCGCCTCCCCTGGTTGACCCGCCGGTACCGGCTGCGAGACATTCACAGTGGGCTCGCCGGGGGGTGAGGCAATAAGACTCTCCGAAGCAGCCTCGCTAGCCATCGAACCTGAGTCGCTACTGCCTGCACTTACGCTGAGAGCTGCAGAAGGGCTCGCACTGCGCAGTGGCCGCTCGACCGTACTCGGGCTTTGGAGAACCGCCATGCTGCCGCACAAGATGTTCCGTTTGAGCCGCTCGGGTCACTCGTGAAGCTGCAGGGGGAACGCAACGAAAGTTCACAGGCCATGTGGCGGCGGCCAGATGTAAATTTGGGAAGGCTGGGGTTATATCTGCGCGGGGATAAGGTAGGGATAGCGCGTAGACGGACTGAGCGCATCCGCCCCCATTCGGCGTCCCGTTTTGCCTCTAGTGCTTACCACCAGATTATCACGGCCACAGAACAATTAATTCTGTAGGTGGTTTGAGGAAATGAGTATGACTTGGTTTCTTCGTGACAGATCCACTTCTCATTCTCGGGCATCTCTGCGGCTCCTGCCATTGGTTTGACGCGGCAGTGAAGGTGCTGCAGGAGGAAATTAGGGCACGGCTGGGAAGAGAGTCAAGACACACTAATGCAGATTAGCCATCTCTTCACCCCATTTGCACATCTTTGGGACTGGCCTGTCGTCCAATGATTATTCACCACGCTTCATCCCGTCCCCCCGAGCCCCGTATAGCTGCCACAGACGCTGATCCTGCGTGTCCGAGGGGCTGTCTCTTCCTGTCACCTGCCATCCCATCCCGTGCGATGAGTTGATTGCGAAACGCGTGCGATGTAGGGAGTCGGTCACCCAGTATGGGGTACTTGCCACATATCAGCACTGATTAGTATCAGATTTCTTCAGTCGCGAGATCCTTCGCTTTATTCTTTGTTTCTGATTGGCTGCGGATTACCCTTGACAGCTGCTGCTCTCTACCTGTCGGATGCCCCCGCGCTGGGAGCCTCCCTACCTGTCCCTCGCAGACTGATTTCATACACCTCATAGATTATCCCTGCTGCAAATCTGACATAATTATCATCGCGATCTAGCAAAGCATCTACCCCTCTCAAATCTGCCAGAATTCCTTCAGAGGTGTACTCATGGGGCCACCAGGCAAACCACCCACCCGGACTGCCTCGGTGGACTTCATCGACCACCACCTCCCTCAAATCAACCCAGTCTTCGAGCATCCCGGCATCAAATACAACTGCAACGAGGGACAATATGTCCCCCCAACCATCCTATCAACCAGTCCAACCGAGGACTATCTCATCCCACCGCGCCCGGCTCTCCCTCCAGTCGATGCAATGAAATTCTGGTCGGACATCTTCCCCGACTGCATGATCGAGTTGAAGAAACGCCCTGAGCCTGAACCTCTCACCCTCAAGGGCTGCAGTATCCGAAATCAATCGGACTGGGAGGGAGTTAGGAAGGAACTAGACAAGGCTCAAAGCTGCTACGACGTGCCGAAGCGGACCACCGCCAGGGGACTGTTCAGGAAGGTCTATCGCAAAGCAGCCGACCACATCGAGCAGGCCAAGATGGTCAGTAAGCTGCTGGCACAGGTGGAATACATCTCCCCGTTCATCGCGACCATTGATCTTCTTCTCGATGTGAGTAGTCTACTCCCCACCGCCCAACCCCCCGCTCCACACCGTAACTTAACGCACGTAGGCCGCCGCGATGGCCTCGACAGTCCGAGGCAAAGTGTCCAGCGCTTTCGAGCCCGAGGCGCTCAAAGAGGACTTCGAGAGTATCGAATTCCTCATGGCCACGTTTCCGCGGGACCGAACCATCCGGAAGACCTCCGTGGCATTGGTCGTGGCGATCTTCCAGGCGATCGAAAATGCGATCGTGTTCTTCGTGAGCCACGAATGTAGGGTCTAGTCTTGTTCCGACCCGAAACCTGGATGAATGCTGACCTCGGCTGGCTAACGGTCCAGTCTCGCGCACCTGGCACAGCGTGACCCAGGGTAGCGAATACCAGGGGAAGCTTCTAAGCAGCATCGACGTGATCCAGAAGTATAGCTCGAAGCTGGCGATTCAAGCGCGGAAAGCCGAGATGCACAGCACGCGTGTGGCACTAGAGGACTTGATCCGGGGCAAGGAGGTCACGACCGCGGTGACGCTCGCCAATTCGGAGAAATTGGATGAGGCGCGGAAGGACCGACAGCGACTGGCGGACGAGCAGATGACTCGGATGCTGAATCACCTGAATGGATTGTTTCAGGTGGCCGAAGAGCGCGAGAAGCAATGGGAAGAGCGCGAGAGACAGAGGGAGGAGCGCGAGAGACGCCGAGAGGAGATGGCGAGACGACAATCTGACGAGACAAATCACCTGCTCGAGCATCTCTGGGGTAAGTCCAGTCGATTCCTTCCAGCTGAGTCTCACTTGCACAGAAAACACCCCTCTGACTCACAGTCTACCAGATGAGTTGAGGAAGCGCAACACCCCGAGTCCACAGCCTCTGGCGCAGCCCGTCGCCTGTTCGCCTTGGATGCCACCAGCCCCTCAAGTGCCCTTCTACGCCCCCCTCCTTGCGTGGCCTCAATATCCCCACAGCACCGGGCTTTCAGTGCCGCAGACCATAGCCCCCTCCGCACGCGCCACTCCCATCCCACCCCCCGACCCCATCACCGTGGCCGAGCTCCTGTCCATCCTCCACGTCACGGTCTCCGAAGCCCAGGACGTAGCGCGCATCCTCTCCCATCGCGCGCGGATTGCACCTGCCGCGCGGCGACGGGCCGAATCGGCGCTCGCAACGGGCGAGTTCCGCCGATGGCTTACCTACCCTTCCTCTCGCGAGCTACTGATTGAGGGGGATGCCGAGTCCGACGGACATGAGGTCTCCGCCGTCTCGCTGCTATCCGCATTGATCTACGCAGCGCTGGAGCATCATGCGAATCGCGTGCGCTTAGCCTGGTTCTGCTCTCTCCATGACGAGAATGCGCAACACAAAGACAGTATAGGGGGACAAGGGATGGTGCGGGCGTTTCTCGCCCAGCTGTTGCGACAGCACGAGTTTGACCAAAACACCCTTCAAGAAAATCACAGCTACCTCCAAGCACAAAGGGATCTGAGCATTGAGGGACTCTGTAAGCTACTGGCTTGGCTGATTCGAAAACTGCCGAAGGGTCTCAAAGTGATTGTGCTTATGGATGAGATCGGGTGCTATGAGACGGACGGGTACGAGAAGGACATGCTTCGCGTTCTGCGGACCCTGCTGCGTTTGTCTCGAGATCCAGCCGTAGCCTGTCAGGTGAAAGTGCTGGCGACGAGCGCGGTGGTGACGGACAGCTTCCATAATGCGTTCCAGGACGAAGATGACTGTCTGCTGCACTTTGATGCATTGGAGGAGACGGATGATATTGGAGAGATGGAGCTGAACACGGAGTTGGTGCGTGGGGATGATACCAGTGACGAGGAGGATTGGCAGTCCTGAGGTGTAGAATCCGATGTCATAGTAATCCTATCTTCTGATAGCCTGCATCATTTCCGACGAGTAGCTACGTTACGGGTTGCGGATGAGAAATTGTCCGGATATATGAGACGTTCTCGTCAGTCAATGTTAACTCTAATCTATCGATCATCATCTATGTACAGTCATGCATCATCATCATGCTCCAGCAACAGTACCGAGTCATTACCCACTCATCCATGCTAGTAGTTCGTGCCCAAAGCAAACACATCAGCGATCTCGGTCAGGTTCTTGCCCTCCGCGAGCAACAGACCCAGCAGAATCCGAGACTTCTGGGGGTTCAAATAGCCACTGGCAATGTGCGTGGCAGTATCGCTGCTGATGTCCGACAAGGGCACCTCGCCGTTGACGGTACGCATGCTCTGCACGACGGGGACCTCGAGGCGGTTGACGACATCCTCGATGGCCGCGTTGAAGACAGTAGAGACCCCCCCGGCCCCGGCCCCGGCCACCACGATCCCCTTGGCACCGGCCGCGATTGCGTTGTACAGCGTATCATTGTGCATGTCCTCATAGGCAAACAGGATATCCACGCGCGGGATCTCCGTCACGGAGGTGATGTCGAAGGGCACCTTCCCGGTAGGCTTGACGGGGGGGTAGAAGAAGAACGGGTGATCGGAGATCATCTCGCCCAGGAAGCCCATCTCCATGGCCTTGAAGGTGTCGAGGGTGTTGGCGTTCGTCTTGGTGACGTAGTAGGCGGAGGCGATGCGGTCGTTCATGACGACCATGGCGCCGCGGTCGCGGGCCTGGGGCGAGGCGGCCACCGTCACAGCCTCGAGGAGGTTGAACGGCCCGTCAGCGGAGATGGCGGTTGAGGGACGCATGGCGCCCACAATGACCACGGGCTTGCCACAGTTGATGGTCGCGTCCAGGAAGAAGGCTGATTCCTCCAACGTGTCGGTGCCGTGGGTGATGACCGCCCCGGCCATCGTTGGGTCCTCGCACACCATCCGGTTGATGTCCTTGGAGAGGGAGATCAAGAGGTCGGAGGTGATGTCTTCGCTGCCCACATTGGCCACTTGGACCCCCGCAACGTTGGCCACGTCGAGCATTGAGGGGACTGCATCAATGAGGGTCAGCACGCCCACGGCTCCGGAGGTGTAGCCGGTGGTGGCTGTCGAGCTGGAGTCCGAGCCGGCAATGGTTCCGCCTGCACTGCGTTAGACGGGTTGGTGATTCACGGCATCAGACGGGAGTGGGCTCACCGGTGGCAAAGATGGTAACATTGGGCAGAGAAGCGTTCATCTGAGTAAAGTTGAGTCCATTGGAGTTGGTGAAGACGTATGTCGTGCTGTTGCTGTCTCGAGCATGGAGCAGCGGGGAGGCGGATGCCAGGGTCGCCAATGCAGAGATGACAAGAGACTTGACAGCCATGGTGAGTGTAGATGATGATAACGATGATGATGATGATGGTGACTGTTGAGATGAAGCTGCTGTGCGGGGGAATCCTGGAGACCTTTATACTTGCTTGCAGTCTATCTTCCCCTCTCTCTCTTCTTAGGGTATGCTCCAAATGCCGTGAAATGTTATCTTGGCGATTAGCTAAGATGATTGCTATTATTGGTGAGACTCATCTTAGCACTTATCAGAAATCATCGATATACTGTTTTGCAGACCATCTTGGCGATAATCGCTTCACTGATAGCTTCATTGGCATGGCCTGGGAGCAGTTGGAGCAGTTGGAGAAAAGGAGCCCGATCTCGGGGGATGGTGGGAAGGTCCAAACGGTCGGAAAATCCCGGCGGATTCAGGGTTGATAAGGAACTGATAAGCATCGTTCTTATCGGGCTGGCTTCGAGAACAAATTCGACTCCACTGCCTGTTGGTGACATTGTTGACATTACGAAGATCAGTTTGTCACTTTCTTCAACAATAAAGGGTCTGCCGGCTTGCACTAACCCCACTGTACCGTAAATCTGGATCTTCAGTTTCTCCTCCATTCTCCCTTTGGGACTCGGACATATCCTTCAGTCGCCTGCTGCTTGCTCAATGTATATCTCGGCATGAGGGTTGCGTATCAGTTACTGGGAAAACGATCGATAACATTTCTCTGACTGAACTAGACATGTCAGGGATGCTGTACCCCTACTATGTGACTATCGCCTAAAAGGTACTCAGGGCACATACAGTGTCACTACCACTGGCAGACCTCCCGGCAGATGTCGCGGGCCTAACTCTAATACCAGAGCAGTTTCCGTCATCCTTGTTTGTACTGGCTTCGGGCGCTTCGTCTATCTTACGAGTGTCGTTATTACTGGAGCAAGGGTCCTCGTATGTCTATTTCTCAGTGCTATATTCAACTTGTCTTAGTCTACTGTAACATGTTGAGGATGCACCATATTTGCCTCAGGCAGCGAGCCACGTGGGTCAGGGACTGAAATAAGACAAACCGAGCAAACAAACAAACCACCAACCAACCTCCTCCTTGCAAGTGCAATTCAGTTCATTCACCTGCAACTTCGGCTTCTTCTCGATGACCTCTCGGCTGACTACCGAACTCGGTTGCATAAGATGAAAGGAAGATTCAACAAGCTGGGATAGTCACCACCCTCAGTGTACATAATGCTTGCCCCGATTCAACTCCTGCTCTAGCCGAGGCGTCGACCACGTCTTGAACTCGGCAATGCCGGATACTGGCCCGTCCCCAACAATCACATTAGTGCTGTCACAGTCGACCTCTGCGCATCACTTACCTGAACACTGACTGACTCGCCCGCATCAAAATCGATCCCCATGGCCCAGATTTTGATAGCCAACTTGACGATCTCGCCCGGCGACACCTTCTCTTGGCTGCGATGAGGATGGAATAGGAACTGGGGATGGATGCTCTTGGAGAGTTCGAAGGCGTGGTGAGAGGCCCTCAGAATCCCCACCGATCCGAGGGGCAGGTTCAGGCTTGCCTGGTCTTTCGTCGGGACCTCCTCGATCGATTGCACCGGGGTGGCGTGCGTCGGAAAGTTGAGGTGCATCAGCGGCCGACCCGCGCGGTCGAGCTTCCGAAGAATCACGAACCCGGTGAAGTCATTGCGTTCTTCACAAAAAATATACAACACCGCCTCAGGAAGGCCAATCAAGCGGGCGTGCGGCTCGAAGGTGTGGGTGAAGGAAAGAAGGCTGTTCAGCTGATCAGACTCCAACGACAGCTTCTCGTATTTCGTCGCTGTTGCCCGCGCCCCGTGTGTCGACAGCACTGAAATACATGGACCTGCTACTGTTCCACGAGAGAGACCTCGAGTGGTTCAAGGCGGGGGGGTGCAAGATGCTCAAGGTGAGCATGGAGCCGGGGGATCGTGCTGTGGGACTCGCGCACGTTGCACTATGCCTGTCTGCCCGAGGGCAACCAGATCCGTCATGTGCAGTACATCTGCGTGACACCGCGGCGGTTCACCACCCCGTGGGCACTGGAGCTCAAGAAACAGTGCTTCGAGAACTACATCGGCACGACCCACTGGCCGCACTGGTATGTCCTGACGCGTCCGTTACTGACTACAGTGAACTAACGCCCTGGTAGTGATATTCGTCCGGCTGCTGAGAAGCCTATGCGGGATGGAAAGGTGTGTTCCAAGGATCGCACTGATTCCAGTCTTTATCTGGGGAAAGCGGATTCGACAATTTACGGGGCGGTTTCTGGAGCGGTCTTAGCTGGGATTCGGCTAGTTATGCCATCTGGAGTGCATCACATAATGGAGAGCCCTAATTCAGCTGCTGTGTTATAGGGGAAGTTCATTAACCTAAACGCCGCCGAAGAAAAAATCTATCTGTTTCATAACTGCTTTCTTTTCACTGCACCTGCCTGCACATGTAAGCGCAACCAATTCAGCAACATCTAATCTCGTCCAGTGCCGACACAGCTAAACTCCGATAGCATGGACGGCCAATGTCCCTCGTAATGCGGAAAATGACCGTGCAGCCAATGTGACCTCGTCGAATGCGAAGCTATGCTGGGTTTGCTGGAAAGGACCGCCGCCTGGCGAGGATCTGCACCGGGTATCTGCTTCAACACCCATACCCCAGTCTCCACCAAACTCCCCAGATCAATCCCAGTCTCGATCCCCGCGCCGTGGAACAACCGAACCACTGCTTCGGTAGCGACATTTCCCTTGGCCCCCGGCGCAAACGGACATCCCCCAAGTCCAGCGACGCTGCTGTCAAACACGCGCACGCCGCACGTGTATGCTTCCCACACGTTGGCGACCGCCTGGCCGTACGTGTCGTGGAAGTGGCCGGCCAAGTTTGAGACCGGCACGCCAGCATCGACCAAATACCGAATTAGACTGCGCACACGGCTAGGGTTGCCCACGCCCAAAGTGTCGCCCAGGCTGACCTCGTAGCACCCCGCCTCGAGCAGAGTTTGCACACAGCGGAGGACAGCAGAGGGCGGCGTGGGACCGTCATGCGGATCGGAGAAGATGCAGGATACGTAACTGCGATTGTAAGTGCCATGCCAACCAGCCCAGAGAACCATGCTCCACTAGCCAGCGCAAAGGGGTAAGTACTCACCCTCTAACCACCAACCCATCCGCGATAGCCCGAGCCGCAACCTCCTGCGCCCTCGCAAGCCCTTGCTCAACAGTACAGTTGGTATTAGCTCGACTGAAGCCCTCCGTAGCACTAACAAAAACCGCAACCTCCTTAACACCTAAATCACAAGCCACCTCCAACCCTCTCCTATTCGGAACTAGGACTGGTAATCGCAAGGTTGGGTCCGTAGCGAGGGCGTGGACGGAGTCATGCTGCAAGAGTTCGCGACAGTCGGCCAGCTGCGGAATCCTCCGGGGGGAGACGACTGACGTCAGTTCTATCGTCCGCAGACCGGCCTTATACAGTCGCTGGATGAGTTCCAATTTGGTAGAGGTAGGAATGGGGGGGGAGATGTTTTGCAGGCCGTCGCGAGGGCCCACCTCGACGATTCTTACGGGGGGAGTGGTGGATGGCATGGTGCAATGTGCATCGAGCTGCTTCGAGTGTTTTGATAGAGGGGTGATATTTCGAAGGCAGACACATAAGTGGACAGAATAGCTGTATGAATCATGCCGCTGATGAACCGAGGTTGACGTAACGGCAGAGGCTCTTGAACCGAGGGCGAGAAGGAGGGCTTCTTGTACTGGCTGGGATCGAGACTATCCGTGAGTGACGGATACGGTAATTTTACTTTTTTACATGTAAAGTATGCGGAACTGTCCAATCACATCGGACGATTGTCAGGGATGACGATCTGTGATCAGATCCGGTGAAATGCGATTACACGGTCGCAGGCGGCCCAACGATGTCGTATATCATATCTATCAATTCGCCTCGATGTACTCCGTAGAATGTCACTTCTTGTTCATTCTGACTTGTCCCTGAAGTAATGAATCGCATCGGATGTACTGCTGGCTTTTGCTGTCAGTCCGAGAGTGACCTGCTGTGAAGCCATGCCTGGTGACGTCCTAAAGTCTGACTGGCATGGTGGCGGATTCATCTTGCATCCTGAATGCAGCGGAGGGGTGTCGGGGGCCTAAGCCTTGCCATCAGTTGTTGTTTCATCGGCGGGTGTCGTATCGAAGCCACTGATGACCGAGGCTGCTTATACTCTAGTCATCAGTCCTGTGGGCCTTGGGGTTGTCTCGGAAATCTCCTTGTACCCCGTTTCCCTGTCCCGAATTCGGCTCCTACTGTCACCATCCCTTCAATCTAGCCTTGATCTTGTCGGTCGTTGAGGTACATTCACACTGCAGAATCATCAGACACGGGTTGGCTTGCCAATTGCCAATGTGTAGCCCTACATCAAATCAAGCTAGAATTCCGACATAACCTCTGGGACAGACAGATAAAGTAAAAGACTCTGCTTCAAGATATCATTTCACTTGGTTGCAGCAGGCGTGGATATACCTCATTTCAGCTCTTGCGTACTCAGCTGGAGACCATCTATATAAAGTCCGACACCCGTAGCCAGAAATCACAAGAATGCCGACAATCATCTGACTGACACGATGCTGACATTGACACATGCCATCACGCACTCTTCCCATCATTCTGATTCGCAATGAGCCAAGTTGAAAGTGTCCCAAAGGCACTGGCTGGAAGACACTAAGCTGAAACCGACCACTAAATCTTCCGATTGCCCCGTCTTAATATGACTTGCAAATGACGTTCCAAAGAGTTGTACATTGGGTCTTACAGTTTTGCCGAACACGTCTCAACGACTAGACTAACGGTTGATGCTCACCTCAAAGGACAAGGACCAGAACGATATGCACATTCCTTCACAGAAGCAGCTAATAGGGGTGTACTAATGCCAAGGTTCTAGGCCCTCGACCAGAAAAGAGGCCCTGGATACTGGACAAAGAGCTGGAATTTGTCCCCTCGGTTAACGAGAACGAGCGCCGACAGGAAGTTGTTTCGCTGTTTCTCATCAGATGGGAACATTTCCCCAGATGGTACGCTCCACGCTAGTCTGACAGGATGAATCTGGTCCCTGCCTCCTTGATTCTCACAATTCCCACTGAAATTCCCGATTTCATCAAGGATCTGGTCGCACGCTCAGACTAGTCGGAGCCTCTACCATATGTGTATTTGCGGAGGGAGTACATGGACTAGAGAGAGACACATCCGAATCGACGCTGCGATTGGTCTTGCATTTACCGAATAAGATACTTAGTTTCGCGATCGTAGCAAGCACCTGCGGCGCCTTATGCCGAGCACTCGGATCTCTGGAGCGGTTGGTGTTTTGGAGGCATAAGCTTTATGATCAGCTTTCTAATACCATGCGGCTAGATTCTTGTATGATCAGCGAGTCTAGATCAGGTCTAATCTAACTTTTTGTATACTGTTTGCTCACATCTTGTATATGTCTCATCTAGTTTGTAGATATGTCTGTGTGGATGGGAAATTCTTATCGAGGAGCCGATACCCAGCAGGCCACTGACCCGATAAGCGACCACTCATCATTGTCCATTTCCGGTACGTCAGGATATCTATTAATATGGAAGCTTCAACATGGCTTCTACGAGCCATCCAGTTCCTCTCTTTACTCGCTCTCTGATAGAGCAGCAACGTCTTTTGAGTGAAAGGAAAAGCATGCCAGACACCATTGCAAAAGCTCCCGGACAAGAACAATTTTATAACGCGTACTGGGCCACCCACTGCCCCCCAAAGTACCATTCAATCTCACCTCCATATCTAGGGCTCGGGTGAAACAACCATATAAAACAGAAACCATAAGGATATTCTTGGTGGTACCTAAAGATCTAGACCTACTCTTCAAGCTGAGTATCCCAACTACAAATTCACTTCGTTTCCTTTTCTCTAACCCCACCAAAGAAGGAAACTAAACCAAACACCTACCCAACCCACGGCCTAAACCCCCATCAGACGATAAAAATCAGTCGCCGCACTATTACACCCGTACCCATCACGCAAACTCCACAGCGATCTACCGCCGGTGGATACCCACAGGACGGCAAAGCTGTTCCGCCGGGGCTCCTCCCGGAAGAAGCACAGGAGGTCGTTGCAGATGACCAGCGCGCCCCGCCGGCGGTGGCTGGGCAGGTTGAGCCACATGGTCTGGAGACAGCGGCCCGCGAGCTCCGCCCAGCGGTTCTGGGCCTGGTCGGAGCTCAGTAGGTAGACGAGATAGACGTGGACCCGCTGGTTGTTTTCGAGCTCGAAGGTGATGACTTGCGTCCCGTCGACGAGGTTCCATACGAAGGGGATCCGGGCGGCCATTTTGTGGGGAACTTCCTATCAGTGAGCACTGTTGATACTTGAAGACTTGGGGGGGAATGGTGGTGGAGGGGATTGTTCGAGCAGGGGAAGGGGTGTTTCTTATAGAGGAGCTTGTTGATGGGGGAGTGCGTTGTGGGCTGGGATTTGAGGCAAGTTCCGTTGCTTGAGGATGTGGAGAGTGAAGTTGACAGGCAACTTGATTGTTATTAGAGGAGTTCCTTTCATGGAGAGGACCTTGTCAATATTATGGGCAGTTCATGGAACGGAGGGTCTCGAGGGCTCAAAAACACCACGAATATGATGCCACAGGGAACAAGATACTGGTGAACATGTCTGCAAAATTTATATACATTGCATACATGCAGCCACTTAGCTACTGCTACTGGCTAATTCACAGCTTACTATACAGACCGTTTGCTATTCCCTCCCTTGCTTTTCGAGAGACCAACAAGTAACAGAGAAAAGCCCTAGAATCTAGTCGGGAAATCCGGGTAATTCCCGGCTCACCATACTTGCAGTCATGCTGCTTGCTAAACCAAGATCAGGATCAGATAGAAACTCAAGAAGCAGGAGTATTGCACTATCACACCCTTCGATCATCTTGACTTCAAGTGTTGTTGTATCGTCGCTTAACTGGGAGGAGATGAGCGGAGACCTGACAAGTATTCTCGTATTATTATTTATATCCGGGAATTCATGCCTCTGTATACTAATAGTAAGTTCAGTATAGCATAGAGTAGAGAAGAGCCTCCCATTCCCTTACTCCCTATATACTAAGAAGAGATCATGAAGTGCGTTGAGAGAATGAAAAGTATAGTCGAGACAGCATACAATAACTTAGAAGCAAGAAGTTGAAATGTTTATTAATCGGAATGCAGTGTATTGAGATCTACAATTAGGGTCTTGCGTGCTGGGTGGCCATTCAATACTACTGTGGGACCTCCGCGGACTCTCCGCGGGGCGTCCAGAAATCATCTCCATTGCGAGCTGTATAAATCGTCCCGACGGTCGCAAATCCGGAGCTGAGATCAAAACCAAAAACTGAACGAAATGACGAGCTCCCCAACCGTTCTCATCGTCGGCTGCGGGATTGCAGGCCCAGTCCTCGCGGTTCTACTGCAAAAACGTGGATATGCGCCGATTGTGTTTGAGAAAGTCAGCCTTCTCGGCGAAGCGGGCGCATCCCTCCTCCTGCAGCCCAACGGGTCTGTCTCATTCCCCCACCAACCCGACCAGCGTTAACGTACCGCAGCATCAAAGTCCTCAGTCTGCTTGGCATTGCCGAGGAATTGGAGCAGCAATACCAGCCTTTAACCGGACACTGGCACGGGCGAGCCGACGGGGCAGTCCTCGCTGCCTCTAATCTCGCAGGGGAATTCAAGCAGCGCTACGGGTACGCCGCTGTCGGGGTACGACGATCTGAGCTTAACCTCCGTCTCAAGACGCTCTTACTGGACTCGGGGATTGAGGTGCGCGAGGGATGGGAACTGGAACGCATTAAGGAAAACAAGAAGGGTGTTACGGCGGTATTTAACGGGGGTCGGGTGGCAACGGGCTCGTTCCTGGTGGGCTGCGATGGGATCAAAGCTGCGACTCGGCGGATACTGCTCTCCAGCAGCAGCAGCAGCGAGGGACCCCCCGTGTTCACAGGCTTAACACAAACAGCCGGCATCTCGCCCACTCCAGCCAGTCTACAGCACCGCTTCAGCCACATGTGCAACTGGTACGGCCAGGGCGTACACGTCATCGCGTACCCGATCTCCAAGACACTCACTTCCTGGGCCGTAACACTACCAGATCCTAACGAACAGCCGGAGACATGGCGACTAGCAAGCGGAGCGGAGCTGGCAACGCAGCAGAACCAGTTACGAACAGCCCTGGCAGGCTTCGAGTCCGCAGTACTGCAGCTAGTCGCAGATGCAGAGCGGATCATCAAGTACGGGCTGTTCGATCGGGAGGCGCTCGCCGCAGAGCAATGGTATTCTCGACGGTGTGTGGTGGTCGGCGATGCGGCGCATCCGACCAGTCCGCATCTTGGGCATGGGGCAAATCAGGCGTTGTGAGTGGCCCTGTTGTGTTGAAGAAGAATGAACCGGAGCTGATAAGATGTAGGGAAGATTGCTTTCATTTGCAACGGCTTTTACCTGCTCTTCAGGATGAGCATGTCGAGCTGAGGGAAGATGATTTGATGGAGATTTTTCGCACGTTTGCTCAACAGCGTCAACCGAGGACTTCGATGCTGGTGAAGGAGGCGCGTCGGCAGGGCGAGCTGCGCGTGGTGCGTGGGCCGGAGAAGTGCCGGGAACGAGATGCGCGGATTGCAGCGGCGTGGGAGGACGCGGCAGTTTTGATGGAGAATTTCGATCGGTTGTTGAAGGAGCCGTTTCAACGATGAAGTCAATGGTTGTGGTGTTGCAGAGATAGGACAAGGTCCGCAGAGAGACTCATCCCTGCAGTCACTGCTGATTGTCAGGTCCATTATAAGGCTTTCGGCTGGCCAATCTTCTCGATTTCAGTGGTTGCTCGTCAGTGAGGTAGGGCTTTGCGCTGTGGAGGTGCAGGTGGGGGACCCGTTGATCTTCACGACGAGACTGGAGCTTGAGACTCGCAGATACAGGTCGAAACTGTGTTGGTTCACCGGGAGTCAAGTGGAGGCTGGCCAGCTCAGAGGTGTGTCTCTATACCGATGGAATTCAGCAATATCAGGCTTTAGCTGTGAGTTCTTGCGATGGTGAGATAGAGTCCGACGAAGTTCCCATCGAGGGCTTGCTGCTGGTCAGAGAACAGGTCAAAGAGTGCTTTCATATCCGACGGACATCCCTTACTCGCGGTCATCGATGTCTATAATTCGTATTTGTTATGAGTGCTTACAGTATGAGGGTGTAATGGCTGCAACCAATCTGATTTGCTAAAAGCAGCTATCCAGAGGTTAATATACGGCGGATGGGATTGCATCGCAGCAAGGCCTTCATACAGTAGAAGCAGCAATATGACAGGCATTTTCGACAGGAGGGTCGGTGATTAAAAACTGTAATAGTTAGTACGCCACAGGATGAGTCTTGGACGCAAGATCTCATATTCAACAAGCATATAGCTTTTGAATAACATGCTTGATCCGGCACAGATCCGATCCACTTAAGTGCTCAATGCTCCTAGACAGATTGACGGGATGAATAATGCTTTCCAGCACTAACCAAAAATCGCTTGCGACCGGGCCATACTAGTCTCGACAAGGTAAGCATGTCTCAGAAGAATGAGAGTAAGGACTGTCTCTCACATATTGCAGTCATGCAGTATCCACTTCCTGCCAGACACAATGCGTGGCAGGGCTGATTAAAGATGGCTGATTGTAGGAAATGTTTCACTGTGCTCAGGCCCGGGGTATAGTAGTCACTGGCAGGGACACAGCCACTGGTATACACAGCCACTGGTATCTGTCTGTTGCGAGATGGCAGATACAGTATGCTCCACAGGATCCACTTCTGCCCACAGTAACTTATCAATGCTGCAGTAGCTTGACTGTGCTCTACCTGGTTGTGTCTACCACCAGTAACTTGGCTACGGGCGCATACAACCCGTGCAGCCTCAATTTACAGTCCGCCAGCCAAGCTCAAGAAAAAAAAAAAAGAAAATGATATTAACCATAGGATATCCAGAATACCGTCCCCCCCAACCCGACCCAACTCCGACCCAAGCCCAGAAATGCCCGCTCAATCATAAGCCACAATCACCTGCCGACTCACCAGAATATCAGCCTGCCCGGGACTCTGTCCCCCCTCGAGGATCTGCCGCTCGCTATCCCCATCGCTGCCGGTACTCCGTCGACCGTTCTGGGTGACCGTGCTCGTGGTAACGTGGTTGGGATTCTTGCCATGCTCGGCGAGCTCGTAGGTGCGCGAGAACATGCCACCCCCCGCGCCCGTGTGGTGCGAGCTGTGGAATCCCGGTGAGCGTTTGTAGTTCTTGTAGTCGGAAGTCTTGCGGTCGCGCAAGATGCGGAATAAGGGGCGCAGGGTGGCGGTGTTGCCGACGATCATCCCCAGGGCGTTTTCCGCGAAGCCCCAGATCACGACGTTGGCGACGCCGAAGAGGTAGTCCGCTTGCGAGGTCAGGGCTACGGTGTATTTGAGGCGGACGCAGGCGGATAGTGAGGCACTAGTGACACGAGGGGATGGGTTAGATGGGTGCGTGTTACGGAGGGGGGGACGACGAGGAAAGGATAGCACGTACAAGATCCCCAGGCCCATCAGCCCAACGATCGAGACCTTGGTGTTGCGGTTGATCTGCACCTTCCAGAGCAGCGGCACCGGGAGCAGGGCGGTTACCCAGTCCGTCAGGATGTTTACGGCGGTGCAGGCGTAGTAGACGTCGGCGAGGACGTAGGAGGGCTGGCAGTGGCCTCCATTCTTGAGGGCTTCGTCGTTCCAGGCCGCGCTGCAGACGGTTTGAGTACAGAGCCAAGAAAGCAATTGGAGGGCAGGCAAGCATACTCCACAGGAATGCAGTTGATCAGGATGAAGATCAAAGCAATGATGTTCATAATCACGAACATGGTAATCACCACGTACTGCACGTACAGGTAGGCTCTGCGCCCCTCCGCAACCCGGATCAACATCCAACTGATGCTCAATTTGATCGGGATAATGGCAGCGCAATAGCCGACCTCAAAGATCAAGAAGAACTGCGCCTGGTCAGCGCCCTCGCCACCGATGTCTGACGAATCTCCATCATACCTTCTTTCCGGCGGCCAAATATTGCTCATTTCCAGGCTCGTCCAGTCGCCATTCATGAATGCCAATGCCATTGAAGGCGCCCCCGACGCACCCGGCTACAAGCACCGCAAATGGAACCTATCATCGCAGAGAAGTTAGCTGCCGCCAAGCAGTGATTTAATCGCTCGGGTCCCTACCAAGGCAACCGACATGATCCAGTCTTCCACCCCCCAGGATTTCCGGCTTAGCCGGCAGTAGACTCGCGCCCCGTAGGTCAGCAAGGCCAGGGTCGTGAGCATGATGACACTGCCGGCCACCGACGGGGCCGCATCGGCGTAGATGGTCATGACGGTGGGTAGTCGTGAGGAAAGTGCGTGAAGGTCAGCCCTGTGGTGCTGTCAGGACATGGGGAGGGGGGTGTTCACGCAAATTCAAGTCAGCAAACATGGGGGTGGACATGGGTGGAGTGATAGTGAGGATATAATAACTCCATAAGCAGGGTCCCTGCAGGCGGACAACCCTAACAGAGTCTGGCAAAGTCGAGTTTGTCAGTCCACTCAATGCCCCTTTAGGATGTCGAACGGGGCACGAGACGCAGTGGGTTGGTGACAGTCGGGTGGGGGTTATTATCCTGTGGTTCTCTCCCAAGCCGAATACGAAACCTTCCGAGATGGCCAGGTTAGGCTGTCAACGCGAAATGACTTTGAGCAGTCAGTGGGAATTTGGTCAACCGCCCTCTCCACCGCAGCCACTGTCAGGGCGAAGCAGTGGCGTCGATGATTTGTTGTCACCGTCCGGAGTCCTTCCGCGGCAAATCAGGGCGAGTCAGGGCCATCTCCACCGCAACCCTACCTTAGTCTTTCTCCCCTCGTCTATGTAGAAAACCTTCAGCATTCACTCTTCACGGCAAGTTATTGGGCGGGGGAAAGTTTCTTGTCGCAATGATGGCTTGGCAGTCTTCTTAACCGAGAAGATCATCCGCCGTACTCCCAGTGCATCCACCCTCGTGCTTGGGTAGAGGATCTGATTCAGGGGGGGTCCGCGCAGGAATTACCGTACCATAACTACATCCGGGAAGACAGACCCAGACTCTCGGGTCCCTCTTGGGCCCGGGGAACGCAGACCGAAACGGAAAATAAAACGTGTCTGGGGGCCCACCAACACCGCGCCAGTCCTTTTCGTCTCCTGGGAAGTCGCTCTTTGGAATCGTCTGCGGCTTTGGTCGGCCTGTCATGACTCGCTGTCAACCATTTCTTTCCCACAGTTTATCCTGATTAAGCTAGCACAGTTGTTGTAATTCTCGACCGGATGGTGCCCCTCCTCCACCGCGTGCGACCGAGCGCACGCTGCTGCTGCTGCCAGCTTGCCACCCCCCGGGCGCGCCCGTCAAGTTCGCCATGGACTCAACTCCGTGATCTTAAATTCACATTAGTTCGGGCCATTTGCAGATCCAGATGTGTGTTTCCGCTTCTATGTAATATCATGTTGTACTTCCGCATCGTCATCGACCGCTGTTCTAAGAATACCCTAAGCATTCCCCCCTGGGATGCGCCGGCTTCCATCGCCGTCGATCTCGGGGAAGACATTCCTTCGCGTCGTTAAGCCCGCCACACTAACCACGCCTTTCGCTGCAGGGGGGAGGGGGGGGAGTTAGCGTATTCGCCACCACGAGCGACGCGGCGGGAGGAACCCGGAGCTCAGGGGTCGCGGCTGGGTATCAGTTTGTGTAGTGTAGCATCTTCGGTTGTTGTGAGGCTGGAATAGTCGTGATGGCGACGATCACCACCCAAGAATACTGTGTACGTAGTGAGATACGACAGATCCTTTTCAAGTTTGGTTTGTGGGCTTCGGTCTTCGGATGTCATTCATAACTTTGAATGGAGCAGCTTCCGAGATATGGGGGACCAGGGGATAATCCAGACGATGATTTGCCGAAGTCTCTTGTTCCAGAAACTTTCGCTTATCTTTACTGATTGCGAAGACCTGGAATTGGGTACCTGAGGTATTGTTGGCTCGCATGGCGGGAAGATCTCTATTTTCATATAAGTATGAACCACTTAAGTCATTTAACGAGTTCGTCAACCTCGTTGTGTGCACCGAGAACATGGATTTGTGGCTTAACTACATATAAATAGAAGCAATTTCATTGGTGCGCACTGGCCTTCACTCACTCGGCGATAGACGAACAGCACAGCTGCCGAGCCAGAGACAAGGTTTTATACGACTCATTGACTTCATGGCGGCTCCCAAGGGCGAACTAGTCCGCACGAGGGCGATAGCCGGTTGAAAAGAACCATAGGACGTCAAACCTTACGTTTATTCTCGACGGTTCCAAGATTCTGGAAGGTGTGAAGCATAGGGTTAGACGAGCACACGTGGTCCAATTCTCCTCGTGAGTGATGGATGGTCCGAATCACTTTGTGCAGACATAGGACTTAGTAATTATGCATTCCGAGTTGACATTATCTTCGACCTCCTCGGGAGAAGGGCAGAACGGCTTCATCTGCGCGACTCAATGAAGAAGCAACGGAAGTCCATTTTCCGTCGATAGTGGATCCCTTCACAGTCTGTTTCAAGCAAGGCACAACCACTTGCAGGAGTAACTTGCATGAATAATTACTCCTTACGGACTCGATCAACTGAGATTCACCACACCTTGCTTATATTGCCCCCTCCACCCGCCAGCCTCTCTGCGGAGTCATTCTTCCCATTGCCGCCGCTCTCGAAATACTGCCTTGCTTCAGAATGTTATCGTGCGTAACGTAATTGGGCGCTAGGAGGAGGAGTGGATCCGCCCACCGGCAACGGTCGCTCGCCAGGGAAGTTGGCCGATCGTCGGATGTCTTTCGGGGATCTGCAGTTGTCCGAGTGAATGATTATTCTAAAGCCCCATTCGCCGTTCCTGCTGCGGTTATGGCGTACACACCGTGCATCGTCATTTCGGATGGGGTTGGCTGGGGATGTCGCGCGTATGACAGATGCTCCTCGTGCTGGATTCCGGGAGAGACTGTGTTGGGATTTTATTCTACGAGTGCGATGAATGCGACCGGGGGAATCAGTGCCAAATCGACTGCTGCGATGGTGGGGATTGTCGGACGGCCAGTTGTCTTCTATGGGCGGAAAGCCGTTGCGCGGAAACATGGTCATTCTGATGGCACGATGGCAGTCCCGTAGCGACCCCTGAGCAGGCCATCTTACACGACTCATACACTATGTATCTTGTTGGATCATCAAGGACGAGGGTTGCAGTGATTGAGCACACCCCGTGCTGATTGCTTGAGGTGATTGAATAATTTATGATTTAGACCAGTGACGCCACGACCTCCTATGTATAGTCGTCGAAGACTAGAAGTACATATACACCAAAGCATCCCGCCATCACATCGGTGGGAACACGTTCCCCGTCGTGGCCACCTCCTGTTGAATGAGCTGCTCATGCTGTGGGCTGCGCACCGTCACCTTGACCGGAAAAGGCTGCTGATGCAGAGAGAAGTGGTTGAGCTTGCGCGTGTTCACAGGACCCTCCTAGTCGAATCAGCTATTCATTGCTCCACAAACCGGGGGATGTGACTATGAACTTACCGATACCAAGTCAAAGCAATAGATAATCCTCGCCATGGCGATATACAAGGCTTGCTGCGCCACCCGATATCCGACGCAAATGCGACGTCCACCCCCAAAGGCCCACAGCCCGTGGGTGATATTCCCCTCGTTTCCATCCATCCACCGCGACGGATCGAAGCGATCCGGTTCCTCGCATTGTTGACTCAGGGCAATCCCATTGATCACGAAACAGGTCCCCTTCGGGAAGCGGTAGCCCGCGTATTCGAGATCCTCGGTCAACTGGTGCTGGGGGGTGATGGGGGTCGTCGGTCGCCAGCGGAGGACCTCCTTGACCATCGCCGCCAGGTAGGGCAATTGCTCCCAATCGGCCATCCCCGGCAGACGCAGCGCACCGTCGGGGCCGACGCAGAGCGCATCCATGTCCTTCCGCGCGCGAGCCATGGTCTCTGGGTGGCTGATCATCGCCATGAGGAAGGTGTTGAGCGTCATCCGCGTGTTGTCGCTGCCCGCCGCAATGACCGAGGTGGCCAGGTACATGGCCTCCTCTTCGCCGCCCTTGTACCGCATCGCCGGGTGCAGGAGCGTGTCTCTCACGAACCCCGGCTTCGCAGTGCCATTGCGAACCGCCGTGCGGATGGGATCCCACCAGGCCTGCAAGACCCGGTGATGGCGGTCCCCCATCTGCGCCCACCCCGGCCGCCACCATTGCAAGCGGGTGGGCACCCACCGGTCGCACTGCGGGAAGTAATCCACGAAGCTGCGCAGCAGGCTCCAGGTGAACTCCATCGTGACCTGCTGGTATTCGTCCAGCTGGGTCTGCGTCTTGTCGAGATGCTCGCCCATCACGAGCCGATAGAGCACCGCGATGGAATAGCGGTAGTGATGTGCGTACCACCGCGTGGGCTCGCGCAGATACGCCGCCAGCATCTGCAGCGACGCGATCTCCTGCCAGTTGCCATAGACGCGCAGCACGGATCCGCTGAGCAGATGGTGCATCACCCGTCGGCCTTCCGTCCAGCCCGCCGTGGGCCGGATGACCGTCCGCAGACCGTGGCTGACGAGGGTCCCGGCGACCGGCATCTCCGGCCGCTCGTGGGTGATTTTGCCGTGTTTGTTGATGATATCGTTGACGACGCGGGGGTCGTTGAGGACTACCCAGGTTTGGGAGCCCATATGGAGGGTGGTCATGGGTCCGTACTGGAGAAGTGAGGCCAGCTACCGCCTCGGTTAGCCTCCGGCTGTGGTACGGAGAGGAACGCGAAGAGTCCAACATACGAAAGGCGCCCATAGTCCGGCATCACGGGCCTTGGTAAACTGGAACATGTTGCCAACGATGGGGAGTCCCCGGGGGCCCGGAGGCAGCTGGCGCTCGGGGCTCCCCAGCTTGGACAAGAAAGTCCCGGGGACCAGCCATTGGTAGATCAACCAGAGAGCCCCGAAGACCCCTAGAATTGAACCTAGGTCCGTCCCTGATAACATGTTGGCGATCGGGTCGCTTGGCGATGGTACGATTCTCTCTGAGTTGAGGGGGCCTCATTCGGCCTGCCGCTGGATTCACGGTCCTCTTTGTATCACCCTCTGCGCCTAGTTGGGTGCACAGTACTACTGGCGGCCTGGTCCGCCTCGCGGATACTCAACCATGATGCTGTCCTATTCAGCCAGGTTGACGGGCCATATGCCCCGGTACTATCAAAGTTGGGGGCGAGGACCAGCCGCGTAACCCTAATCCCGGGATGGGTTGGCGTCGCCGCTCCGTGTATTGCAAATTTTACCTGCCCTCTCGTACGGTACGGAGTATGCACTGCAGAGGGTGTGCCGGTCGCCAGGTTGCTGCAGGATTTATTTTGGTTGTTACCAGTAATACTGAAGATCTTAATTCTAAGTAGTGAAATTACAGTATATCTAGTCATATAAGTCTTAGTAGGGGTTATCAGGCCTCTTACTACGGAGTAGTAACAACTAATTAATCCTACAGCAACCTGGCGACCTGGCGACCGGGGTCATTCACTGCAGAGTTGCCAGTGTGATTCGTGTCAGCAAGTAAGCAGGGAGCAGTAAGTGAATTTAGTGGTATTGGGGTAAAAGCTGGCCTCCACATAACATACACGACGACACTGAATGCAACCTCCATCAGTGGTCGGTCTGCGCAGCCCGTCAGCACATCCCCCCTCCTCCTCTTCGTTCCACCGTCTCCCCCGCCAGTCTCGTCCAGACGACCAGGGTATAAAACCCCCTCGCTCGAAGGGAAACCCCGCGCAAATCCATCATCCCACCCGCGCCTGTCTCGCCTCGTCTTGCCCCCGACCTCTGATCCTCTGAATGAGCCTATTTTCCTGCTGTTCTTCTCGCGGCCGTGCTCCTTCGAGTCGTCCAGATCCCTTCCCCGACAAAGCTCCTCCCACGATGGCGGAGGTACAATTTCTCGCCCTCACCACCAAACCCTCGGCGCAGCTGGCCTACACCTTCCAGGCGCCCGAGGCCACCACCACCCCAGTCCTGGTCGTCTTCCTCAACGGGCTGGGCCTCCCGCAAGCCTTCTGGCAGCCCGTCATCCGCCAACTCCAGACCCTCCGCCAGGGCCACCCCCTCCCCGCCTTCCTGACGTACGACCGCTACGGCCAAGGGCAGACCACCGATCGCGATCCGCAGGATGCGGACGCCGCGGATCCCACCCACGGCCACGACTGCCTCGCCGCGGTGCAGGATCTGCGGCAATTGCTGGTGCAGATCACGCGCGACCAGCTGGGCGTCTCCGATCTGGCGACGGTGCGCCTGGTGCTGGTGGGCAACTCGATCGGGTGCGCGCTGGCCCGCCTCTACGCGCAGGAATACCCCGGCACCGTCGCCGCCCTCCTGCTTCTCGACAGCGTCCTGGCCAACTCGGACTTTGTCTCCGTCTTCCCCGACCCGGACGCCCCGGGCTTCGACCCCGCTTCCATCGCCCCCATCCCCGTCGAGGCAATCCGCGCGGTCCGCGCCGGCGCCCGTCGCGTCTTTCACCCCGAGGTGGGGAGTAAAGAGGGCCTCAGCCGACGGAATCTGCGCCAGTTGCTGCCGCACAGTGATGGGCCCCCGTTGCAGGGTCCGGACGGACATGGGCCCTATGTGACGGTCGTGGGCCACGATTTTGACGCTTTCGCGGCGGAGTCGGCGAAGATGGGCCCGCCGGCGCCGGTCACCAACCGCTTTGTGAACCCCTACTGGCAGCGCTACAATGAGGGGCTGGCGCAGATCACTGCGCCGGAGTATAGCATGGGTCCGGTGATTGCGCCCAACGCGGGTCACTTCGTGCAGAAGGATAATCCGGAGTTTGTGGCGCAGGAGCTGAATGCATTGCTGGAGAAGGTGTTGTAGGGTATAATCAGTGGTTAGGAGATAGTATGAAAATTGATGTTATTCTCAGTGCTTCCATTGGTCCTGATGTTGGTCGTAAGGTGATCGTGCAGTTGTGCATCGCTTCGAGAGAGTAGTAGAGGGGTGTCGGTTATGTTCCCACAATGCAATGGTGAGCTATCACACAGAACTAACCACTGCACGCACGGCACGGAGGAGCAACACACTGTACTGCCCCCCTGCCAGCAGGCTGAAATGACATAAGACTAGCCACAAACATCCTAACGTGCGGCGTAGTGCTTATCCTCGCCTGCCGGTGGCGTTTTGCCCGCTTATCTTTCCTTGGCACAGCGCGGGCGGGTGAATGCGCCCCCCCTCGTTCTCAGTCCTCTGCATATCTGTCCGCCAGATGGCGTGACATATGGGGCGAGACTCATACATTCTGCGACTGTCAGCAAGGTGTCGGATTGTGACTCCATTTATGCTCATGGGGGGGGTGGGGTCGTATCGCAAAGGACGACCGATAGTAGCTGAGTGTATCAGCGACCGTGCGGGGAGACGTCAATACAGTCATCTGTACGGTATCGGCGCGACTCGTATCGAGGCCCCCTGGTATTCATACAGCCGCTGAGGTAATTTTCAAAAAGTGCACGGCCTGCCAGGGGCCATGAAGGAGGGCTCGTGCCCTGCAGGAGCCGTGCGTGTTGCTCCCACGTTGAAGAATCCTGGACTCCACAGGTGATAAAGACTACCACATCGCTGCTCAATCGCCCCCACGCCAGCCAAGTGGCGTCGCTGCACGGAACACGAGATGGCTGGCCCCGCGTCCCGGGTTGAGATGCTATCAAGAGCACCCTGCCAGAGGCGGGATGAGATGGCGCAGTGTCTGAAAGACGAGGCCCGGATGATTTGTCTCCTGCGTCCAAGGGACGTAAAAGCCGCGATTCGGATCCAGTCCTCTTGATAGTGGTGTGCTTCCATCCTCTCGCTTGTCTGACTCGAGGATTTGACTCTCCGCGACCATGGCCTCAACAGCAGCAGCAGCAGCCGCGATGCAGCGTACCCCCGATGTGAGCATTGGCTACCGGCTCGAAGTCGGCACGACGGTGACCTTCATCTGCGCCTGCATCGTGGTCAGCCTGCGGGGCGTGGCGCGCAGCATCTACGCGAAGCTGAGCTGGGATGACTACCTGATGCTCTTCGCGGTGGTTCGACTCCATATCCCCCAAGATCCAGCAGAATGGGACCACTGACACCCAGAACAGGTACAAGCGCTCATCGCCACGGTCTTCGACTACCTCGCCGTCAACCACGGGCTCGGCCGCCACCTCATCTACCTCCAGAAGACCGCCGCCGTGCAGGCCATGTATTACGACTTGCTGTCGCAGGTCTTCTGCATCAACGCGCTGAGCTGCGCCAAGATCTCCATCTGTCTCTCCTACCTGCGGATACTAAAGGGCACGCGTCACAGCGTGCTGCGCGTCACCTGCTATCTGACCGCGTTTCTGGTCTTCGCCGTGAACACCGTGGTGATCATTTCCTTGTACGCGCAGTGTGATCCGCCGCAGAAATCCTGGAACCCGTTCCTGCCGGGCAAATGCTGGAGCTTCCGGACGGAGATTGCCTTGGTGTTGCTGCAGGGGGGTGAGTTGCGGCCTCCCCGACTGTCCCCTACCCTAACTATATCAACCGAATCCGCCAAACTAACAATTCAATCATGATACAGCCTGGTCCGCGGTGACGGACTACTTCCTTTCCCTTCTCCCCGTCTTCCTCTTCAAAGACCTGCAAGTCAGCCGCACCAACAAACTCCTCCTCTGCGGCCTGATGGGTCTCGGCGTGATGTAGGCTTCCCCGCCCGTTACCCGGGAGGCAGCAACTCAGAGCTAACAGCACCAGAACGGGGGTGTTCGCCACCATCCGCACCATCGAATCCGGCCTCGGGCTGAAGAACGGCACCAGCGACGCCTCCTACACGACGGTCATGGGCCTGATGTGGGCCGGTATGGAGCGCAACATCGCCATGATGATCGCCAGCGTGCCTGCGCTCCGGCCGCTGACGACCCCGCTGGCGAGGTGGACCTCGCAGACGATCTCGTATCTGGGCGTGGGCTCGAGTAGTAAGACCCAGCAGACGTATGAGCTGGGGGGTTCCGGGGCGTCGCAGCGGAAGTCGGTGAGCAGTACTGCGCCTCCGCAGGGGCGGCAGTATCCGGATGCTGGGACGGGGAAGGGGGGGGTCTCGTCGACGAGTATGGAGCGGATCTTGCCGGAGCGGTCGCCGCGGGAGATGGTTTAGGGCTGGGGGGTGGATATGGTTGATGGGATTGGGGTTTGAGAGTTACTGCGTGTGACGTGTACTCTAGAGGTCATGAGTGTGATTGGCATGATTGGAATCGATAGTGCTACGTTGACTGGTGCTTTGCTGTAGTATTCAGGGACGGAGATGCATTGATTGTGATGCAGTAGATGGCCCTGCGGAGGCTGCGAACACTAAGCCCAGAGGGAGCCGTGATGCAAGCTGCGACTATCAGGCTCTTGAGCTATGGTCGGCATTGGCGGGCACGGAAGATGCATACGGGTTGCAGCCAGCAGGTTCATGGGAACTGGTCTGAATCCCCCAACCCTCTGACCACACAGCGGGGAATCCCACCGTCTCCAGTACATGTCTCTTGTTTAGTCTGTCTAGTCTGGTGGAGTCCAATCTCACTGATAACCGGAGGAGCATTACCGTTTTAGGGCTTTCTTCCTCCCGCCCCCACAAACGTGGCTTCACCAGCCCAGACTCCGGCCTGGCCGCCTGCCTCGTGGCACTGGATTCTATCGCCCCCAAACTACTATGCTTACTACCCCAAGGGTGGGGATTCCCTCGGAGGCGGCATGGATCATTACTGTATGCGCCATCAATTGGCAGCTTCCCGCCCCCACCCGGTGGCTTTAGGGCGAAGTGACATGGGGAGGACCATGATGGCTGATACTTCGCTTACGGAGAGTGGGAGACAAAGTGTTGACGTGACGATACCGTGCATCGTATACCTGACGCGGCAAGACTGGGAATCACTCGTCTTCGTCGTAGTGTGGCCTCGCCCGCCCCTTTCTTAGCATCGTAAAAGAGCAGGAGAAGACGGAGTCGAACTACTTATACCCACGCAATGTCCAAGACTCAGAGACAACATACATTCTTCTCTTCTGAATTGAAATGGTGTTCGAAAACCCCCAGCTTGAAGTCCCTCCCAACTGTGGCCGGCGGCTGATGCCGGCCGTGCTGGACGAAGTGGCCGAATCCGATCCCCGGCGCGTCTTCGTCTCGGTGCCCCAGAGCCACGACCTCGTCGATGGCTTCCAGGACATCACCTACCACACCTTTGCGCGGGCGGTCAACAAATGCGCCTGGTGGATCCGCGACCAGCTCGACGAGGACTCGATGCCCAAGACGATGCTGTACATGGGCCCCCTGGACGTGCGGTATCTGATAATCATCCTCGCGGCGGCCAAAGCCGGCCACATGGTGCGTGCCCTACCCCCCTCTTCGTGAGCCGAAGGCACTGACTCCCACAGGCTTTCTTCAGCTCCCACCGCAACAGCCTGGAAGCGCATCTCTCCCTCCTCGACCAATGCAGCTGCGACACTGTTCTCATCCCCAGTCGCTCGCCCGCCATCCTCAACCAAATCCTCGCGGCGCGGCGCATGGACCAGATCGCCACCCCGGAGGTGGACTTCTTCTTCCAGAAGCTCGACCAGGTGCCCCCCATGCCCTTCACCCTGACCTGGGAGGAGGGCAAAACCAAGCCCTTCTGCGTGCTGCACACCTCCGGCTCGACGGGCATCCCGAAGCCGGTCTTTGTCACGTACGGCACCTTCGCCAGCAACGACGCGCACCAGCTCATCCCCTCCCTGGGGGGCAAACCCACCCTGATCAACTACCTCGCGGGTCAACGCCTCTTCCTCGCCCTCCCCGTCTTCCACGCCGCCTGCCTGACCTTCACCCTCGTCTTCAACATCTTTGGCGGGGTCACCTGCGTGCTCCCACCCCCGGGCCCCATGACCGCGGAGACCGTCAACCTGGCCCTCCTCCACGGCCAGCTGGATGGAGCGGTGATGGCCCCCTCCCTCATCGTCGACTGCTACAACGACAACACCTACTGCGTGCACCTGGTGCAGAAACTGAAGTTCCTCGCCTACGTCGGCGGCGCCCTCCCCGCCGAGGTGGGCAACGCGCTCACCCAGCGCATCAAACTGCTGACCCTGATGGGGTCCTGCGAAACCGCCCTGCACCCACTCGAGCTCAACGAGGACCCGCACGACTGGCAGTACCTCACCTTCAGCCCCTTCCTGGGCCACACCTTCCGGCCAGACCGCGACGGCCTCTTCGATTTGGTGTTTGTGCGCGACCCCCGCTTCGAACTCTTCCAAGGCGTCTTCCGCACCTTTCCCGACCGCACGGAATTCGCCATGGGGGATCTGTTCGAGCCACACCCCACCCGGCCCGAGTCCTGGGTGTTCCGGGCGCGGGCTGACGACATCATCGCGTTCACGACGGCGGAGAAGCTGAATCCCATCACCATGGAGACGGTGATCGCCACCCACCCCAAGGTGAAAGCGGCGGTGGTCGGCGGCCAGGGCCAGTTTCAGGCCAGTCTCTTGGTCGAGCCCTATGTGCATCCCGCCACCCCGGAGGCGGCCGAGCAGTTGCTGCGGGAGATCTGGCCCAGTGTCCTCCAGGCCAATCGCGATTGTCCTGCCCATGGCCGCATTATGCGCGGCTTTGTCATGTTGACCAAGCCCGAGAAGCCGATGCCTGTCGCCGCCAAGGGGACGGTGCAGCGGCACCAGGTGCTGAAGTTGTATGAACCGGAATTTAAGGAGTTGTATGCGCGGATGCGGCCGCATGTGAGAGAGAAGAGGGAACCGGAGGGGAGGGGGTCTGGGGATGATGAGCTGGATCTGAAAGTCCAAGCGGCGTTGGACCGCCTGCTGCCCGCAGCGGTCGAGAAGGCGGTTCAGGCCATCCTGGGCAGGTTGCTGGCCGGGCTGTCGGGGCAGCAGCAGCAGCAGCAGCAGCAGCAGCTGGAGACGGGGTCGGTGGTGGAGGGTGTCGAGTCCACCCCGGCGCAAAATGCAGAGGTGGAGTCGGCACCGGCTGCTGCCCCCGACCTGAAGAAGCTCATCTACGATCAGTTGGGGGAGAACCTGGAGGTGCAGCATGTGCAGGACGATTCGGACCTGTTTCAGTGTGGGTTGGACTCGCTGCAGGTCATCGAGTTGACCAACGCGTTGAATGCGTATATCATCAAGTGGCGGCCGGGGAGGGAGTTGCTGGAGCCCAAGGTGGTGTATGACAATCCCTCGGTGGGGAGACTTTTGGATCTTGTGGGGTGAGCTCCAATCCTGTATCTTAGATATCTGTTAGAATACTACTTTTGACTTGACCGATTGGTACTCGTTGTCCATGCTGGAGTTGGATCATACTTAGGACGGAATATCAGATGAGACGGTCCGCTAAGTGGGAAAGCAGGAAGGCCTGGACGCCACGATGGCATGATAACTGATTAAAGGAATGTCCGAATGAACAGATGCAATGAATCGCAGGATAAAGCCATAATTCACGGGAACAACCAGATCTATGCCCAGTCTACAGAGTCCACTCCTCTACCTCAACCCATACTCCCCTCCCAACCCCCCCACCACACAAACCCCCATCCACCACAACAACCTCGCAAACCACTTCTTACACTCTCTCGCATCCTCCAACCTTACCGTCCTCACCATCCCCCCCAGCACCCCCGCCGTCCCCCCGACTGCACCCACCCAATACACCCTCCCAAGCCCCAACCACCACCCCGTCGCCGCCAACAACCCCACCTCCACTGCCGCCAACCCCGTCAACACCTCCTTCGTCCACCCCCGGCACAGCACCGCCATGCTCCGTATCCCCGCCTTTTGATCATCCTCCAGATCCTGCTGCGCGTACACCGTATCGTAGATCATCGTGTGCACCACATACGAGAGATACAGCGCCCCCAGCGCGAGCTGGGTCGGGTGTGCTTGCGGGAACACGCGAACACCGAGCGAGCCATACCCGATGGCCTGCGCCGTGGCGAGGGAGATCCCCAGGATGAGTTGCGGGAAGTGCGTGATGCGTTTGCCGAAGGGGTAGAGGGCCATCGTCCCGGAGAGAAGCCCCGCGGGGAGGAGGGTGGTGGATGGCGAAGGGAGAGAGGTCAATGTTGCGAGCCATCCTAGGGCCAGGAGGAGGGCGAAGAGATGTGCCTGCTGCGGAGTGACGGCGCCGCGGGCCACCGGACGGGAGCGGCACCGGGCGACGAGTCGGTCGTAGGGGGCGTCGAGGGCGTCGTTGTAGGCGCAGGCGGAGCCGCGGAGGAGGGTGTTGCCCAGGGTGTGGACGAGGGTGGTGGTGAGGAGGGTGGTGGCGGAGGGGGGAGTTGGGGTGAGCGTGGGTGAGGCGGCGGCCAGGAAGACACCGATTAGGGTTGGCACCAGCGAGGCGTAGACGCCGGCGGGGGAATGCAGGCGCATCAGCTCGGCATAGGGGAGTAGAGCCGGTGGGAGGGAGGCCAGGAGGCTGCCGGGTTTGATTTGGGGGTTGGTGGAGACATTCAGACGGGTCTTTTCTTCCGCTGGTGCAGATTGAAGCGTGGTGGTGGAGGTGGTGGAAGCCATGATGACCAGGGAGAATAGATTGGTCCGAGATGTTGTCGTGGGATAGGAAGATGGCGAGTGCAGCAGTTCATGGTTTATATCGTGGCTGCATTCACCAGGGGTTCGCATCCCGGAGATGCCACTGGATTCAGTCTGGCTGACAGCATCACCCCCACGTGGCTCATACATCGGCTGCTCTGTGCGTCCCTGCGGAGGATGACTGCATGTTATCTGCCATGGTTTCAATTAAGTATGATCAATACGAGACGCAGCAGCCGAAACGGAGGGCGACTAAGGCTATTATTGGGGGCGAGAGCAGGGAACGGGCTGCCACCATCGCCCGTCCACGCATATAACTTGCCTCTGCCGTGTGGCATTATTCCTTGGCCAGTCCTAGCCAAAACATTCCTGGCCACTCTTCATCCATCAATCATGACCGGAACACCGTCAGACGTCTTGCTGTCCACTCGGGGTGGGCTGAATCTCACCCAAGTCCTCGCCCGGATCCCGCCACAGTTGCTCAATCCCATCGAGCGTCGCGATGAGATTGATTTGTCAATGGCTGAGAACCGGGTCATCAGGGCGGAAGTTCTGCAACTGGCCCGGTCTGCCATCGAGACGAGCCTGCGATCCCAAGTAGGACACCCCCCTCTCCCGTCGGTGGTGGCTTGGGCTAACCGTGGCAGCATCTGGATTGGCCTAAGGGGTTTTTCGGGGACGCAGGCTTGCTGGAGCTTCTCGCCGGTGTCTTTCAGAACCACTTTCGCCCCTACGCCTCCGTGCACCCCGACCATATCGCCGTCACAGCCGGTGCGGCCGCCGGGCTGGACGCGCTGCTGTACAATATCTGCAACCCGGGCGACGGGGTGCTCGTCCCCTGCCCCTACTGGAGTGGGTCCGGTCCTCCTCGACCCGGTCGGATGACAACTAATCTGTTCCTAGATGGCTACGATGCCCTGTTCACTCTCCATTCCGAGGTTCGCCCCGTTGGGGTCGTGCTGCCTTCCTTCGAAGAATCCTTCGGTCCGGGATTCCTGGCGGCGCTGGACGACTCCTACCGCCACGCCCCCGGCCCCATCAAGGCGCTGGTGCTGGCGAACCCGCACAATCCTCTGGGACGGCCGTACTCCCAATCGATCCTGGAGCAGTGCATGTCGTTCTGTCAAGCCCGCAATCTTCATCTCATCTCCGACGAGGTGTTCGGTCTCAGCCACTTCCCCAGCCCGGACTTCCAGGCCCCACCGCCGTTCACCTCCTGTCTCAGCATTGATCCCAACACCGTCGGATGCGATCCGGCGCGCGTGCACGTGGTCTGGAGCATGAGCAAGGATCTGGCCGCCAGCGGGGTCCGACTGGTAAGTTGCATTTGGTGGTGGTGGCGGCGCAAACCGACTTCTGTCCCGAGCTGACCGGCCGTTAGGGCTGCGTGGTGACGCGCAACCGTCCCCTGCGCAACGTGGTGGGCCTCGTCGCCTCCGTTCACGTCTCGGGGCTCTCGACGGTGTTTGCCAAGGAGGTTCTGGCCTCGTCGCAACTGCCCGACCTCCTGGCGCGGAGTGCCACACGGCTGGCGGATGCCTACACCACGCTGACGACCGCGTTCCGGGCGGCTGGCATCGAGTACTTCCCATGCCACGCCACCGTCTTCGTGCTGGCGCGGCTGGCCCCGCAGGCCACGAGCTGGGATGAGGAGATGCTGGCCCTTCACGCGTACCGGCAGGCGGGGGTCGTGGTCGTGCCCGGCAGGGCGTATCATCTGTCCGACGGGCAGGCGGGCTGGATGCGGGTGACGTTTGCCATGGAGGCGGAGGCATTGGCTGAGGGGATTAGGAGGATTGAAAGGGTGTATCGGACACTCATGGCATGAGATTGTGGGGGCTGCAGAAGTGGGGAAGCACGGGGTGAAGAGTAAGCTGCACCAGCAAGAATGCAGGGACGTTTGCCATGATCGCACGAGATTACCGGGGGACTCGTCAAGTACGTATCATGTTTTGTTAATGGATTGAAAAATACCCGCTAGAAAGATAGGGTATACAGTATTTGGTCTGTGTCTGTCGGGCCCGCAAGGCTCCACCGTCAGATTTTAGTCTGCAGGGGGCCAAACTCGCTTATGCCAGCATCTCGGCAATACAACAGCTACTATACCCATGTGCGTGCCTCCCTTCACCATACTTCGTGTTCCCCATACGATGGGGGGCCGTGATATGGCCCGTTGTCTGCAGGGTCTGCGCCGCTGCCCACCGAATGGCTTCCTGGGGCGACATGCGAGATGATGGCCGGAGGTTTATCATCAGCCCGGGGATCCCCGTGGAGCATGAGTCCCGGCAGAGGCAGGTCAAATGGTCGACTCTGAGAAAGCGTGGGGACAGTTCACTGTCTCCAGTATCGGTACCACCGATCTCCCGTGTGATATCGCGCATGCACTGAGCACGCAGTCGGTGGACCAGACCGGGGAGAGACTGCCGCAACCACCATCTCGCGAGTCGATCTTCTGGACCATCTACCGACAACTCTTCTCGTTGGTCTTCCTCTCCAATCTTGCCATTTTCATCTGGATCGTTGTTCGGGACCGCAGCGTCGTCCGCGGGGCCGATGCCGCAGCAGCGAATTTCCTGGCGTGCGGACTCGCCCGCCAGCCATTGATTGTGAATGGCTTCTTTATCACACTGTGCTCGATCCCGCGATCGCTGCCGTTGAGACTGCGGCGCATGGCGGCCAATGTCTACCAATATGGTGGAGTGCACAGCGGGTGTGGGATGGCCTCTTTGCTCTGGTATCTGGGGATGCTGGGGGGGTTGACCCGCGAGTTCTGCACGGCCACAACGCACGCAACACCATCAATCATTGCCCTGGTCCTCGCCTATTTGATCGTCGTTCTTCTTCTCGCCATCATCGCCGTCGCCTATCCAGCCTTCCGCGTGCGCCACCACAACACCTTCGAACTAACCCACCGCTACGGCACCTGGGCCGTCGTGGCACTGTTTCTGGTCTTGCTGCTCGTCTTCGCCCAAGCCTCCTCCCCAAACCATATTGGCGAGTATCTTTGCCAACGCCCCGCATTCTGGTGCGTCTGTCTGGCCGCCGGGGCCCTGATCCACCCCTGGACGCGACTCCGCCAGATCCCCGTCCAGTGCGAGCTCCTCTCCTCTCACGCGCTCCGGCTGCATCTCCCTGGCGGCACGCACTTGGGGAAAGTCATCACCCTGGCGCAGCACCCGTTGCGGGATTGGCATAGCTTTGCGACGTTTTCTGATGCATCCCAGTTCCCAGACCCGTCGGCGGGTTCACCGCCACCCTCTTGCTCCATCATCGTCTCCCGCGCCGGAGACTGGACCAGCGAGCTCCTCGTCCACCCGCCCACCACCCTCTACACCCGCGGGGTCCAAACCTACGGCTTCACGCGCACCATGCGTCTCTTCCACCGCATTGTGCTCGTCGCGACGGGCAGTGGCATCGGACCCTGTCTGGCCTTCCTGGAAGCGCGGCAAAGACCCGCGATCAAACTCTGCTGGCAGACGCGGGCGCCGGAGAAGACCTACGGGAAGGAGATCTGGGAATTGGTACATCAACTCGATCCGCACCCGCTGGTGGTTGATACGGATGTGGCGGGGAGGCGGGTGGATCTGGTGCCGGTGGTGGAGAAGCTGTATGGCTGGATGCAGGCGGAGATGGTGTGTGTGGTCAGCAATCAGAGGGAGACGGAGCGGATGGTGAAGGCGTTGCGGGCGAGGGGGGTGTATGCCTTGGGGCCGGTTTTTGATTCTTAGCGAGGGGGCTTCTATAGTAGCGAACAAGCTCATTCACTTCAATTCCATCTTGCAGATTTCATTGTGAACAAGGTGATTGATTTGACTACACCATCCCCTCATCCTTGTTATATCCATATCTGTCAACAGCCTTTGCATTACCTCCTCCCATTGACCGATGCAACTACCGGACCACTCCGGTTTGATCACCACCTCTCAATGCATCTTACACGCCTGAGAGTCAACTAGGTGCCTTTTCGAGGAAGAAACCAATAGTCAGACCACTGGAAGACACTTGAATCCCCCTTGTATCAAATCGACCGCTCCCTTCTATCCATCCTCTACCTGGGCACCACCTCGAAGATTCAGTTCAAGAGCTTTGAGTCCCGGATCTCCTCGGCTCGCTGTACGAGTTCCTCCGCATCCCAATTCGCCCAGACAAACTTTCCCCGGAGAAATGCTGCCTCCGCAGAAGCCAGCCAGACATAAAACTGGCCCGGCAAGTCGGCTGTGAAGATAAGCACCGTCAGCAATCACCGAGTCACCCTCAGCCCCGACAGTCTCGGGTTGTGCGTACCTTGATCTGGCGCCTCCGCCTGATACCCGTTGATCTCCGTAGCCACCCAGCCCGGTTGGACGCTTACCACGCGCACCTCGGGGTGTTCGGCCGCGACGTACTCCATCATCTTCAACACGGCCGCCTTCGCCACGGCGTACCCGCTGAATCCGGACATCGGCGCGCTGTTGGCGAGACACGAAGAGGTGTTGAGCAAGATCGGGTCAGGGGCCGCGACGGCCAAGAACCCCTGCACCGCGTTCCACGCGCTCTGGAGATTTTCCGCTACCCCTGTCAACACCGCTGCGCCGTCGGACTCCCGGATCAGGCCCGGAGGGGGCAGGGTCCCCGCGTTCGAGACGAAGATGTCGATCTGCCCGACTTGCGACACAATGGAAGCGAGGGCCTGGTCGACTGCGTCGCGGTGGCGGAGATCGGCTGTCGCGGAGAGGACCTGGGTGGAGGTGCCGGCTGCTGTGGCTGCGGCGGTGATTGTCTCTGCCCCCGCTTGGAGAGTCTGCAGACGACGACCGAGGATCGAGACGGATTTGGCGTTCGCTTGGGCGAAGGCGACGGCGATGGCGTTGCCGATGCCGCTGCCGCCCCCGGTCACGATGACATTCTTGCCGGCGGCGGAGAGTTCGGGGCGCGCGGGCGAGATGAAGGGATAGGGCTTGGTGTGCCATTTCTTGGTGAAGAGGATGGGTTGGGGATAGTCGTTGGAAGGAGGCATGTTGTAGTTGGAAATGACCGCGTTCTGTGGTCGAGATAATTTGTTGCTGCTGTTGCCCGCTGTGAGGGTTGTTGATGGACAGATGACAAGGTCGGTCATCGAGTCCTTTATATCTTCTGTATCTCAGGTCACAGGCTGGAGAGAATGACTATGCAGTGGCTGCAATGTTGGAGGACTGCCTGGTCTCATCTCCCCGACGGCGTCTTGCACAGGATTTGTAATCGCCGAAGGTGAGACTCGCCGTCGGCCTTTGAGCCCACAGCAACACGATACGGTAGTCATTATGCACGACACATGCGATGATTGCCGCTACGCGCGGAGGCAAAGGGTCAGAGAGTAGATTGCTGCACCTAATGTAATACCTCCGGGGCTGGTAGCCCTGATTTGTCCGGTCAAGCGAGGACATACGAGAGAGCTTTCATACAAATGGCACGGTTTGCTCTTGTCAATGGAAACATATAAGATATTGTCTCATCATCATAAATTTTTCCACCGACGACCTTCCCAATGGCAAAGACGTCTGCACCGGAGAATCCACCGCTCATCTCGAGAAAACCAGGCAGCCTTTATTTACGGCGTCCTCTCTACCTTCCTTGCCATCACAAATTGCTGTCATTCTTCAGTTGATTACGCGGCATATCGCACGGTTTGGGTGGCACCGCGATGGTAAGCCGATGGGATTATGGAGAGTATACAGAGTATATCATTGATTGATGAACTCAATAGAATAAACCATGACGTCAAGATAGGGTAATCCGACATCCTCCACCTCACTTTCTGATTCCATCAAATCTGCAAGTCACGATCCCTCATCTTCTATGATTGACCCTCCCCCCCACTGTACCTGACTTAGTCCTTATCCTAGGAGTGTTGATCATGTCCACAACGTCCCTGGAGGGTAAAACCGCCCTGATCACCGGTGCCGCCAGTGGAATCGGGTAAGCCACATCCTTCCCCCCAACATCACAGCGTCAAACTGACACCTCCCCAGCAAAGCAACCGCCCACAAACTCGACAGTCTCGGAGCTACACTGATCCTATGCGATATCAACGAACAGTCCCTCCAGGAATTACAATCCGCGCTCTCCCACCGCCCCCGCAACAATGCCAAACACATTTTCCAGGTCTGTGACGTCGCCTCCAGCACAGACTGCACGCGCCTCACGCAAATCGTGCGCTCCTCGCTCGAGCACCTGAACTTCCTCTTCAACTGTGCGGGCATCAACCCCACCACTATCGCCATTACCGATACCACCGAGGAGTACTTCAGCCAGTTGGTGGACGTCAACCTCCGCGGCACCTTCAACATGTGTCGCGCTTGTGTGCCCCTCATGCGCCGCGGGTCGGTCATGGTCAATGTCTCCAGTGTGTGCGGGCTGAAGGGCGTTGCGGGCCATTCGGTCTACTGCGCGACCAAGTTCGCGGTGATTGGGTTGACGAAGGCGCTGGCGGTGGAGTTGGGGCCCCAGGGGATTCGGGTTAATGCGGTCGCGCCGGGCCATACGGATACGCCAACTATGGTGGGGAATGTTGCCGGGGGCGATGCGAATGAGAGGATTGTGAAGGAGATTCCGCTGGGACGCTTGGGGCAGCCAAGAGAGGTGGCAGAGGTGGTGGCGTTTTTGTTTAGTGAGGGGGCGGCGTATATGTCGGGAAGTGTCGTGGAGGTTACAGGAGGTGTGAGTTAGATGGATTTGGAGGCTGTTTGGGGGGATTGTACATATATGAGGATGCATGGAGCGTTGGGGAGTGCATATCTCGAGGCATGAGCGGATATTCATTTCAGGCAACATGCAATTGATGGGTCAAGAATCGCATCTTGCGCTCAGCAAGGGGCTCGAAGAATCACTTTCAATCAAGTTTGAAGAGATCAATCCTTAGTCGGCAGGTCGACCGACAAGGCTCCCTTAATCAACGGGCATTTCGCATGGTTTTGAGCGTAAGCAATCTCGATAGTCTGACTTTACCTGTGGTTCTTGCGCTCGAGCATTAGGATGGATACTAAGATCAAGGTAAAAAGCGCAAACACATTGCCTCCCCGCAATACGATGTCGCTGATTGTAGTCGATGTGTAGCGTACGGTGAACGAGTTTCCGTTTGAGCTCAGTGTAGATTCAGAATCTGATACCACCGTGTCGATATGTATTAAAGCCGATTGAGTGTGGTTGACATACAACAGCTGGAGGTCCCGAAACCTCTATATCGTTCAAGAATTTAAATCGCATGACATGATTGTACTTGCCACTCACATTTGAATTTCTGACGCTTCTTTTCGTGTTTAATCCACCTATGTATTCTATTTTTGGTCGCTTCCCATCATGCGAGATAATACTCGACGGTGAATCTGTCAGTTTTGGTCCGAGATAGTCTATATTGATGAACTAGGTGCAACCATCTAAACCTTTTCAATTGCCTTTAGCCATCTGTCAGTTGCCAGCCGTTGTTGTCATCACAAGGTACCTGAGTGAATGAAGAAGCTCAGCTCATGATGACTATATCATCGAGTCCATCCACCATCCTCTCTGCTATAAGAATACTGTCCTCCTTGTCTTCCAGACTTCTACCGATATCACGCACAAAGACAAGCTCGAGCGAGGGTCACCCTTCCTTCCCTTTCATCAATCTCTCCTTCCAACCTTACCTCGCCCAACGGAACACCACAGCCCTCTGCATCGTCAACAATACTCTCTCTTGCCTGTCGTGCAATCGCACCAGGCTGGTGTCGTCTCAGCGTTGCTTCTAGCTTCTGAACCATCCCTTTACCTACTCTAGCCCTGTCATCGACCACTCAGACTCGCCCTACCATGTCGCTTAGGCAAGACCGGCTGGTGAAGGAGCTGTAAGCCGCACCCTCCTCCCCCTGCATCACGGATTTACGAACTCGCAGGCTCATGCCACCCCTCATCCTCCAGGCGCAAATGGCGCAAGAAACCCCTGTTCGGGTTCTACGCCAGACCCAGCCGCACCCGCCAGGGCGTCCGCGACATTAAAATATGGGAGTGCGGAATCCCCGGCAAGGTCGGAACCATGTGGGAGGGCGGGCTTTTCAAAATGAAGATGTTCTTTCCTGAAGGTGAGTCAGTCGCTTCCGAAAACACTTGCTGGCAGCAGTAACGCTCACAGCCACACCTCGCAGAGTATCCAAACAAGCCTCCAAAGTGTACGTCGACGAGCCCATCCCCCACAAAAGTCTCACTCATCATCGGCTAGGCCAATTCGACCCCCCTCTGTTCCATCCGAACGTCTACCCCAATGGAGTCATATGCCTCTCGATCCTCAACCCGCAGGAATCCTGGTCCGCGGTGTTCTCGATCAAAGAGATCTTGCTGGGGGTGCAGGAGCTGCTGGATAATCCGAACCTGATGTCGCCTGCGCAAACCCCGTCATATCAGCTGTGCAAGAAGGATCCGGATGGGTATCGAAGGAAGATTCAGCAGGTGGTTCAGGAAAACTTGCTTCATCAGGTCTGATGTGGGAGGACAAGGTGGACGATCATCACGATGATATGTCGGAGAGGTGCGCGGTGCCTGCTGTGTTGAATATCTTTTGCCTTGCACCCGATAGAGAAATATGACTTGGTGTTTTGTTGATGGGACGCTGTGGATGATCAAGCGACAATGCATTCCCCATCACGATCAACGTACTCTATTAGCCAAGCTAGAAGATAAAGTAGTAAGTACCTGTTTGGGTTCCTTCCTGCTGATATGAACCGATCTCATCTTCGGCGACTTTCCTCTTATTCCCCGATTATCCCTCCTGACACCCCACTCAACAGCTCAGATTCTATATCAAAATGCCTCATGTTCCTTACTCTTTGTGTAGTGCGCTCTGCAGAGAATTTCCAGAATCTTACTTTGGAAATACTCGTACGTCATACTAAACAAACAAGCCAACCACGCTGTGTTTTGCAACTGTTGCCTCCTGGTAGTGGAAGCATCGGTATGCTCTCCCTTTCTTGTCTCCTGAATAGGAAGCTGACTTGTCCTGGCAGAAGATGCTAGGTGATCCTACGCCCAGAGCTTCTGCTGGGAGTTCTTCCGGGTCCGCATCATCTCATGCGATTGTGCCATTTAGTCGTCCTTTCACACATCTTCAAAACTTCGGCACCTTCCATGCCCGCTATGTCTATCCCCCCTCCAGATATTCTCTACACACTGCTCGCTGCTGCTGCTGCTGCTGCTGCTGCTGCAGGGAGGGGCTGGTGGGCGTTTTTGAAGGTTTTTGGGGGTCAATTTATGGAGATTTCCAATGGGAATAGGAGGGTCACGGGAACCTGCCCTGCAAAATGCCTCTTGGCTAACACCTGAGCAGTCTCGGATTGAGTATATGGTCCCATCGCTTGATAGCTCACTCTGATGCAGCCATTTCTTCTGGTGGCAGTCGCGAGTGAGCGGTTACATGGAAGCCTTTGATAAAGTGGAGGATTTGGAATCTGCTCGAGGACTTATACTATGTCCTTCCGTACATAGTATTTCTAGCCCCCGCGCGATTGAACTACTGCCGCTTCCTCTATTTGTATTCGCTCGCCTGAAGGGAAGCTCAGGAGGAACTCAACTCAGTTTGTCTTCAGGCTGTTGATCTTCGAGCAGAGACTCATCTCACACAATGCAATGTCGGGCTAAGCGCAAATGAGAGATTTAGTTCGCGGCAGCTTCCCAAGCAGAAACTAGTCATCGGTCACGTATATAATATGGCTAACCTAGACACATGATTGCCGAAATTCAAATGCCAGCTTCTTGTTCGAAAACATGGGTCTGAGGCTTACCACTTGTTGACATGAAAGATTCAACGTTGAATGCAATTTTTGCAGACTGGTTGGACAGTTGGGTTGAAGTAGTGGACGATGTTCAGGAGGAAAGGGGATAGTGTATAGAAAAGAAGGAACGACTTAAAATGAATAACAACTCAACACGGCCTGTTTTGTTGCGCTGATTGCGTCGAGGAGAATGGATGGTTGTCACGGAAGTGAAGTCAGGCTGGGGCGTTGGGGGAAAGAGGAACAGCACTGAGGACAGAACAACTACAACTACAAAAGTCATCGACCTGGAATTAACAGAGAAAGGAGGTATCCCGATGCACCTGCCTCACTTCCATCGTGACAGAAGCCCTAATAACAAATAACATTCTTGGGGGCAGTGGGTATATCGAATTACTTATTATACAGGTATCATCCAAGGGAGAGGGGGTATCAGTCCAACAGTCATCGCACATCAATCTCAATCCAGTCCACATCCAATCGCTGTCAACACCAAACAAGCAGAACATCATCGATCCAACGCATTCTCCTGACACTATCGTCCAAGTTAGTACAATCCCATGAGCACGGAAGAGAAAAGAGCATACCATCTGATAATAGACCCCCCGATTCCGCAGCAACTCGCCATGCGTTCCCTGCTCGACAATCCGCGACCCCAAGCCAACCCGACCTTCCCCAAACACGAAGATCACATCAGCCTTCTGAATCGTCGCCAGCCGATGTGCCACCGCTACGATCGTCATACTGCGCTTCGCCGCCAGCTTCTCCAAGGCCGCCTGCACGACCTTCTCGGACTGCGAATCGAGACTCGACGTCGCCTCGTCGAGGAGCAGCAGCGTCGGCTTGCGGAGCAGCGCCCGGGCAATACACAGTCGCTGGCGCTGGCCACCGCTCAGGGCAGCCTGGGCCTTGATCCCCAGCTCGGTGTGGTAGCCTTGGGGCATGGAGGTGATAAAGTCGTGGATCTCGGCGTCGCGGCAGGCTTGCTCGATCGCCTCGTCGCTGACCTCGGAGGGATTGGTCAAGCCCAGGGTGATGTTCTCGCGGATCGTGCCTTCGAACAGTCTCGGTTCTTGGGCAACGAGCGAGATCCGCTGGCGGTAGGTCGCTGTGTCGAGGGATGTGATGTCCTGGTCGTTGAGCAAGACGGTGCCATTCGACGGGTTGTAGAAGCGCTCCAGCATGGCAATCACCGTCGTCTTGCCGCAGCCTGAGGGACCGACGAAAGCGACGAATTGGCCCGGAGTGATATTCAAATTCAACCCCGTGAAGAGTGGATGTTCCTGCGAAGGGTAGCGGAAGGCGACATTGCGGAAGGCGATGCTCGCCGCGCTTGTCGAGTTGGTAAGATTGGTGCTCTTCTGCTGCTGCTGCTCGCGGTAGCTGCGCGTCGGGCGGGAGTTCAGGATGCGGTTGGCAGCAGCTGTCGACTGGGCGAAGTTGGAGCCCCAGCTGAAGAACTGGCCAGCCTGCTGTCCCCCCTGGATGATGGCCATATAAATCACAAAGAATGAGGTGGGCTCGTATTCGCGCGAGGCGAGCAGCTGGCCTCCATACCAGAAGGTCAGGGCCATGGCACACAGCTCCACACTGTCGGAGAAGGCGAAGACGAGCGTCGCGTACCACGCCTTGCGCAACGCTTTGCTCTGCTGCTCGACCAGCATGGTTTTGTAGCGGTGCAGGATCGCGTCTTCCATCGTCAGGGCTGACACCGTCCGGAAGGCGTCAATGGCCTCCGCCGCAAACTGCGAGCTGCCAGAATATACGGCCGCATTCATCGCCTCGAACTTGATCTCGTACCGGATGCGCATGAAGGCGGCCAGGAATGTGCACGGCAGCGCGGCCAGCACCGCCACCAGACTGAGTTTCCACCCAAAGATGAAGGCGATAATGATACATCCGATCATGCTGAAGATGGAGATACAGGGAAACGCTCCGTTGACACCGAGAAGCTCCTGGACTTGCTTGGGGTCGGTGGACAGGCGAGAAACCAGCGAACCCGAGGCGTTGTCGTTGCGGTCGTGGTATGGAATCGGCTTTTCAACGATGTTCTTGAAGTATTGATTTCGGCAGACCGAGGAGATTTCCTGCGCATATCAGAATTGATCAAGCCGGGGAGAGTATCGTCTATCAACTCACCACCGAGAAACGATTGGCGGAATATCCGACCGTGGCATAACAGAGGGCGTTGCCAATAGCCAGAACGAGGAACATCAGACCCCAGAAATTGGCCGCATGGGAGAGCTTGTCCCCTGAATAGTTGAACACCTGGATGATTCGAGCGAACAGCCAACTCTGGATGGGATAGGCAGCTGGTCCTTGTCAGTATCTTCAGGACTCTTCTCAAATATCTTCGAAGGCTTACCTCCAGCACCTGCGGTGCCAAGCAGCGCAGGCACATAGAACCGCCACTGGCCTCGGTTCTCGTACACAATCAGTCCAATGCTGCCAAAGAAGCCTCGTTGCTTCGATTTCTCCAGTTCCTCCTCCAGCTCGAGCTGATGCAGGCTCAGTTTATCCGATTTGGCGTCGTCGTCCGTGTCTTCGGCCCCTTCCTCGAGTTCTTTGTCGTCCGCACCCAGCAACTCGAGTGTCTGCGCATTAACCAGCCCATTGTACACGCCGTCTTCGATAGCCAAGAGCTCCTCGTGTGTTCCCTGCTCGACGTTGACGCCACCTTTCATCACCACAATGTGGTCTGCCTTGCGGATCGTCGTCAGCCGATGGGCAATCACGATGGTCGTGCGGTTCTCGGCCAGGCGATCGAGCGCCGCCTGGACGATCTTCTCGCCGCGTACGTCGATTGCACTGGTCGCTTCGTCCAGAATCAAGATTGTGGGTTGCTTAACAATACTCCGAGCTATGGCCAGACGCTGTCGTTGTCCTCCACTGAGCTTGGTCCCGTTCTCGCCCACGATGGTCGCAAGGCCGTCCGGCAAACGATCGATAAACTCATCCGCAAACGCTTCCTGACAAGCCTGTTGGATCAACCCGCGCTTGACCTCCTCCGACTCATGCTCCCACTGCGTGCCGATCAGTCCATAGGCAATGTTGTTGAAAATAGTATCGTTGAATAAGACCGGCTCCTGCTGCACCAGGCCGATCTGCGTGCGCCACCACTGCAGATCCAGGTCCTGGATGTTGTGCTCTCCCACCATGATCGCCCCCTGGTCGGAGTGATCCGCATTGGCGTTCAGTTCATACCACCGCTCAAGCAGCCCGACGATGGTACTCTTGCCAGAACCCGAGGGTCCCACTAAAGCGGTGGTCTTGTGTTTTTGAAAGCGGACGTTCAGCCCCTTGAGCACTTTGGAATCCGGGCGCGATGGGTATGTGAAATGCACATCCTGGAATACGAGATCGACTTCTGCCGAGACCTGGGGGGCCTTGAGTCCGCTGGAATCGACCTGGTTGCTGTCGATCATGTCGAAGAATGCGCTCGCGGCGCTGGCAGCTTTCGAGATGATCATCAACGGCGAGGCGATGGCGCCTAGAACGCTGACTGCGACCATAATCGAAAAGAATACACTAGGAGCGTCAGTGAGTGAGTGCTTTTTCGATGGTCGACCGAACCCCCAAGTGCTTACGTGATGACAGTATTGATGTTGGCAATATGTCCCTCCCGGTACAGCTTGAGTCCAAACCAGAAGGCCAGCGAGTAGCTGGCGTACATGGCAAAGAACATCAGACCGAGCTGGGCCGCGATAAGCACCGACAGATTTCTTCCGCGCAGCCGGGCAATTTCAATCCACTCAGCGTATCGCTGGGCCAGCGTCCCCTCGGCCCCCAGGGAGACCACGGTGCGGATTGAGCTGAACACCTCGGCCGCGATGGACGCGTGTTTTTCGTCGGCCTTGTCGACCTGCTGCTGGACCTTGGTGATCATGGGAAGGGTGAAAAAGCAGACGATCAGTATGAAGAGCAGGGCGGCGCTGGTGACCAGGGTCAAGGCCCACGAATACCGGAAGGCGATAACGTAGGCGGCGACGAGCAGGGCGAGCGACTGGAAGAGGATGGCCAGCTTGTCGGAGATACTCTGCTGAATCGAGTTGGACAGAGTGGTGATGGTGTTGGTGACCGAGCCGACCGAGACTTGGTCAAGTTTGCTGATGGGCTGGGCGAAGAGCGCCTGCATGTATCGCAGGCGGAGGGTGCCAGACACGCGGAGGCCGATGACCCGGAAGCAGTACTGAAAAAGGTTATCCATGCGCTGGCTCAGGATGAGGCAGTTGACGCACCATTGAGAAATACGTGAGGGCAAACTTCGCAATGAAGAGGTAGACGATGTCTAGACTGAGTGGGTGTTAGGGTCCGGTTGAGTGATTGGCTCGAGTCGCTGTCGACAACTCACCTCAGTCGGCTGATGGCAGACTTAAATTCGCCTTCGGTGGTGGTGGACCCATCGCTGAAGTAGCCATTGAATTCGCCCACCATATTACCGAAAATAATGTTCATGAGTGGTAGGGGCTGGCGAAGGGAGTTAGCGAATTTCACCGGTCTTCTCTCTCATGGGGGGAGGGCAACATACCACACCCGAACCGATGGAGGAAATGAGGGCAACGACGAGAACGGCGCGATCGGTAGCGGAGGTATACGACAGCAGCCTCTGATCATCACAAGGATTAGCTACTTCTGATCTCAACGATTGATTGACAGAAAAATCATACCAAGTAGCTGCCCAGCGAGGCTGTCTGTTCAGGGCTGACATCCTGGGCATCAGACTTCTTGCCGGCTGTCGAAGGAGCATCCGAGTGATCGGTCACGGAGACAATCTTCTCCGCGGTGAGGATATCACTAGACTCGCCATATGGTCGAGGATTCTCAGTCGATGAACCCATAGCGACTGACCTGGAGGGAAATCATGCAGGTAAATTGAAGCCAGAGGAAGGGAAGCAGCCCAGGTGTCATGGTGGGGATAAACATGATTTATATGGCAATGGTCTAGCCAGGGGCAAATCCAGCCTAGATCCATGCAAAGTTACGATATGCGGATAAGTGGAGTCGTATCGATGCAGTCTTTCAATAGAACCAAACCAAAGTCAAGAAATCATGGAATTTTAGGGTCCTGTCGATCCCCGACAAAAAAAGCAAAGCATGGATGTCCGGACATTCGGGGATTTCCATGATCCCGGGGGCGGTGAGAGACAGCCTGCAGCATACAGCATACAGCATACAGCGATACTGCCGGCAGACTGACGGTTCGGATACCACAACCAGAGGCGGTCAACTTGCAGCTTCCCCCTGATTGTGTTGTGCCCCTCGGGGATTTCGGAGGGTTGCAACTCCCCGAACTCTTCCATTCTCTCCCCACTCAATTCCTCCCCCCTCCACATCATGACCCAATCCCTATCAGTAAGTATCCTGATCTTGTTTGTTGACCTATCGCCATCTTTGACTATATTTTCTAATCCCAGCCCAGTGCACACGTTGCCAGGCCAAAAAGGTGAGTCTTCTCCTCCTTCCCCCCATACTGGGCAGCATGCCAACAATGACGAAATAATCACGGTAGATTCGCTGCAATCGCGCCGACCCGCCATGTGACAAGTGCACCACTGCTGGCGCCCAGTGCACGTATCTGCCTAGAAAGCAACGCACTCTCAAGCGGAGGTAGTCTCTTTCGTTCTCTGCGACTGCTATGTGTCAGATTGGGCTGACGCGACCGTGCGATGTAGAGCAGTCCATGACAAAGATATCCTGCGCGAAATCCTCCGACGTCTGGAACGCCTCGAGGACCACTGTCGACTGGGCCACAATACGGCCGACGAAGATGACATCCATCGCTCTATGTCCGTAGAGTCGGACAACATCTCGACTCCTGGTTCGTCGTCGACGAATGAACTTCCCCCGAGTGCGCAGTCGCCCGCTGGTCAGGCCATGGTGCAGAGCCTACTGGCCCGCGTCAAAGACGATCGCATCCAATCCCGCCTGCACTCACACGTCTTCTGTGCCATTGACAAGACCGGGTCACGCTTCTTCGAGAATGAACGCTGCATCAAAGCGTTGGATGCTGCCATCGCGCGCATCGAGCAGCTCGATCCAGCGCCAACAGAGCTCAGCCCCCCGGCGATCCCGAAAGAGACGGCAAAGAAATGGATCAACCGTGAGTGGTCAACTACCGGTCCAGAGGACGGAGTAGCCAACGGCAACTGACTCCCTCAGAATACTTCAGCAACTATCAATTCGAAGGGTTTCGCATCCCGCTGGGAAAGGACTTCATGATGGCAATGCCCGAATTGATGGAAAGCCCCCACGTCCGGCTCGATGCGACCTCCCAGATCATCTACTACAATGTCCTCTTCCAGTCGTTCATGCTCGACGGGGATGAAGTCGAAGCGAGAAACCAGACTGTTCAGGCTCTCTGTGGCACGTGTCTCAAGTTAGCGGAGGAATGGCTCGGCCAGATCCAGAATACGTCTGCCGATCTCTTTGCGGCATTTATGATGGTGTGCAGATATCCCCGTCGGGGCCAGGCACGAAGCTGACAGCAGCAGATCTCGATGACGCTTGAGAGTTGCGACAGCGATCTGTCGTGGAAGATCTTCAAGACCGCCTGTCCGATCGCCCGTGCTTTGGGCTACTTTTCGGTGGATGAGGATCAGCACGACTGCAGCGAGAGGTCGTCGCGGACGGAAGAAGTCTCGCCGCACGAGGGGATCGAGCGCAACCGCAAGCGGTTCGAATTCTGGCATATTCTCCGGACCGAAAGTCACTTTCGACTTTCTTTCGGAAAGCCCGCCATCATCTCCGGGGGATCCTGGGCAGTGAACTTTCCGGATCCCACCATCACCGGCGTGGACCATGCGTCCACCCGCTTCATTCAAATCCATTTCCTCGCCTCCATGCGTTTGACGATCGTGACAATGCGATATCTCGACATTATGGCCACCAATCCCGACACTCATACCCGGGCATACAACGACACCATTGATGGATTAATCGCGGAAGTGCAGAAGATCATGTCCGATTGGAATCCGGTAGGACGATGCCTACCATGGCTGCTGACCCATGCTGACCCAAGCAGGAAGAGCTACTGAACTCGACGACCAACCGCATTGACACCTGGTTCTGTGTCGACATCCTCTTCAGCAGCTACAAGATGCTCATCGTCTTCTACCAGTCGAAACCGTCCCACCGCGACAGTCACCGGCTGCCATATCATACCGTGGAGATCGCCCGGAAGAGTCTGCAGAGGTCGCGGTCGCTCATGGAAGCGACGCCTCGCCCGTACTGGGGTATCAGGTATGTGCTTCGTGGGCCTCCATACAGCAGCTGTTCGATGCCTCGGCTAACCCAGACAGTCTCATCTTGCTTCACCAATCCATTCCCCTCTTCGTTCTCTTTCATGATATCCTGGGATGCTACGACCGCGAGGGCATTGAGGCGGACGTCGCCCTGGTGACGTGGTTTGACGATTACATTGAAGTCGCGTCCAGAGACCGGATGGAGTTGAAATGTATCAGTCTCGTAGTGCGAGAGATGACGCGAGCCTGCCAGGAGGTCGCAAGGGGCCGTTAAGACTGCATTGAAGGTGATCAAGACAACTGAACTATGCATCTAGTCATCCTCAGCATATCCTTCAAATCACCCTCGATGCTAGTCGCCAAACCTATCGATTTTAACTCCGCCGGGCACCCACCGTCTCTCCTAGACTCACCCTGACCAACTTGATCGCTCCCTCGCCAGTTTCTACCCGCTCCTCATTCTTCCCACGCAGCACCCCGGGCGTTGACATACCGACCCCTAACTCTAGAGATACTACTTTTTGCCCGGGTCGATCATGACCCCATGTCGCGCGAAGAGGGTGGTGGAGGTATAGTCCCGTCCCGTGGCGGCGGAGAGGCCCGCGCCACAGCTGAGGAGGACGGTGTCTGCTTCGCCGGACCAGATGCGTGCTTCGTCAATGGAGGCCCCCGGTCAGCCGCGGTGCTGAATTGAGGGCAAAGGTAAAGGGGAGAGTAGTCGCGCGTAAGCGACCGTGTCCTCCTCGCGGAAGGTATCGAAGATGATGTTCGTGATGCCCATTTCTGGATGCTGGCGCAACCAGCGATGACAGCCTCAACAGCCAGAGTTGCAGCTTCGTCAACGGGAAACGCGAAGAGCCCGATTGAGATGCTGCACAGGGCGACTGTCTTGCCATCCTCGTCAGAAATTGGTAGTGATTCAACCTGGTCGAGCACAGCGCGATAACACTGGGCGAGCTGAGCGCGCTGTGCAAGGCCCAGGCTGGACTGATCAGCGTCGAGCTGCGGCCCGACCGTATGGATAATGTACGGCGCTGGGAGACAGTAGCCCGCTGTGATCACAGGGTCACTGACCGGGAGGTTGCGGTTCCCATTGTCCATGAGGCGGAAGCATTCTTCTCGGAGACGGGGACCGGCACGCGAGTGAATGACGTTGTCGATGCAGCGGTGCGCGGGCTGGAAGCAGCCCAGCCTGCGGGTGTTGGCTGCGTTTGTGATGACGGTGAGGTTACTGAGGGTGGTGATGTCGCCTTGCCAGAGATGTCATTTAGTCATTGTGACTCGGTCGGAGGCATCTTTGTCTGCTGTGGCTCGAGTCGTGACCCGAGGGAGGGCTGCGGCGTCAGCTAAAGCGCGGTGTGATCGCTCCCACAGCGAGATCTCTTCGATATCGCGCAAAAGGGCTGGCACGAGGAGCTGTCGTGGGTGGCGTACACAAAGCAGCCGCTTCATGGGTCGGATTCGCGCCCAGGTCTACATAGTAAGGATGTGATCCCCCGTTGCAGCATCATGACCATGATGGCATGTATGTGCTCAGTGGAAGTCATGGGAGTCGCGAAGTAGGGACTGTAGGACCCTGGGCAGCGGATTGGCAGCCATAACTTACTGTCTCACTGGCTTTCTTGCTTAACAATGACTCGGGTCCTTGTTTCCAAGGCCAGGCGTCATATATGTATTCTCCATAGATCCACCCAGCGGAGCCATTTTACCCAAAGAGGAAACACAAGGATGTTTGTTGATAATTTGTTTGTTTGTGCTGTTTAGAAATAACCGGAAGCCCAATCAAAACAGCAAGTGATTTTTGAGCTGTTTGCATGGCGGTCCAATTCCGCGCGGATTTCGACGCTCACCAAAGTATCCTGCTAAACACAAAACAGACGCAATAGTAATATCTCTTCCTCGATGGTCTAACGGTCATGATTTCCGCTTGTCAATCCCACTCGGGAACAAGCGCGGGAGACCTGGGTTCGACTCCCAGTCGGGGAGATTCTTTTTGCTCTCATCTTTCCGTGAGGCATATATGATCCAGTACGTGCCAGTTACTCTACATCAGGATCTTGTCCGTTCTTTTTGCTATACTCCACAATAAGGACTACTTGCAGACAAAGCAGTTTTGACTATAAGTTGTGTTTGACTAGTTGTGCAGCGACGGGATATATAATGTGATTGTTCCCACTCCTGGCTACTAGCAGTTAATGGTATTGTTCCAACCCCCGGCAACATATATCGCATGGAGCGCTGCTGCAGTCAGAAAGAGAGGTAAGAATATCGACCGTTGCAGATACAAATGGGCTGGATTCCATGATTTGGGACACGAATTATGATATTGGGGGGTGGCGTAGTCGATTCGGGATCCAGGCTCGTCATGATATTAACTATGCATGGCCGACGCTGGAGAGAATCTTCGAAGCAGCAGAGTATAGCCAGGCGAATTACTGATATAGAACCTCCACTTAACCTCACATCACTTTATACAATCTACATAGACCTTACTTAACTTAGCCCAACTACAGATCAACGACATCCCAGCTACACCTTATCTACACCTCAAGTACATCTCACCCCGGAGTGGGAACTCAGTCTGAACTCATTTGAAGACGTATATACATCAACCATCATCAGTCATAGCGCATTCTATAATACACAAACAAAACATCATAAGTCATCGATCATGCCGGAAGAAAGAGTGGATGCTGACAAAGGAAAGTGAAAACAAAATCATTAGGGCATCATAAATCGTTTTGGGGTATCAGGTTCCTTCCTTCTTCCTCTTTCTTTACAAAGAGGTGGGGATGGGCAGCTCGCTCAGGGACTTGACCAGACCCCGCAAGGCCGGGTTCAGCTCCGCGGCGGCCGCCTCCAGCTCCGTCACCGTCTTGTTCACCTCGCGGCCGAGCTGGCGGATCAGATCGTAGGTCGCCTGCAGGGCGCCCGTGCGGTGCAGCAGATCCAGGATCTGCGTCTTGCTCTCCGGCGACAGCGGGGCCTCGGCCGCCTTCTGTCGGTAAATGCCGAGGATGACCGTCTTGGCGGCCGGGTCCAGGTTGCAGCAGCGCACGATCGGGTAGACGATCTTGCCGTGGTCCAGGTCCTCGCCGCGGCCGAGCAGTCCCAGGTACTCGTGGCGGATCTGGTACCAGCGGCCGAGCAGCTTGGCCAGGGGCTCAAAGTCCAGCGATGATCCCTCCATGCTGGCGGCCTGCATGAGGCGCACGAGCAGGCGGAAGGTGGAGCCCGACTTCTGGTCCACCATGGTCAGGTACTCCTGTTCGGACGGGGCGTGGGAGGTGGTGCGCCAGTCGAGGTCCCACGACTGGCCGATAAAGCGGGCCTCCAGCTCTTCCAGAAGCCCGTCAAGCATGCCGGGGCACTTGAGGCTGTTGACGATCTTAGCCACGCGGACGAATGTGTAAGCGGCGCTGTTCATGCACTGCGCCCGGCCAAAGACCTGGTGGGCCGGGGTGCGCTGGCTGCGGTGGGTCGCGTGGTCCTGGATGTCGGCCAGCATGTGGGCCGAGTCCTGCAGTTCGTTGATGATCTGCTTGATGTAGGTCAGGGGGCGGTTGGGGACCTGCAGCCAGACGTTGAGAGCGCTCAGCAGCTCGCTCTGCAGGTCGGTGATGGCGATGGATCTCATGTAGCCGGCGGGGGCCAGCAGGGGCATGGTGTTGAGCTGGACGATGGGGGCAGGCTCCTCGGCGAGCGGAGTCCAGACCGGCGCGTCCTGGGGCTCCTCGGGCTGGGCCGCTTCCTCCACATGTTCCGCCTCCTGCTCCTGATCTTCCTCCGCCTCTTCCTCTTCCTCTGCCTCCGCTTCCTCATCCTCATCTTCCTCATCGTCATCCTCATCTTCAGCCGAGGCATCTCCTTCGGAAGAGTTCTCTACCACATCGGTGGTGGAACCGTGCTGGCTGTGCTCATCCTCCTCCTCACTCTCCTCGACCGTGGCAAGCACGGCGTAGCGGGGCGTGTTCTTGGACCAGTAGTGGATACCTGCGAGGGACGAGCCGAGGATCTCCATCCACTTGCGGAGCTTGGGCGCGAGATCAGGGTTGGCCTGGTAGAGCGCCTCACGACGCTTCACGAACTCCTGCTCGTTCTGGATGATGAGCTCCTTGGCCTGAGCGATCGCCTCCTCCTCGGACATGTTCTGGTGTTGCATGAGGAACAGGATGACGTTGGCCACGGGGCGCCTCTTGGTCTCGCGCTTCTCCTTCGGCCAGCTGTAGTAGTCGTTTGTGAAGAACATGGTGCGCTCGGCGGCATCGAGCGCGTCTCTGACGATGGCCTGATCTTCCTTGCCCAGGCGGGTGCCGTGGGCGAAGCCCATTAGGGTCCAGTACACACTGTCGCATCCATTAGTGCTGGTTCGGGG